TCAGTTAAGCGTCTGCCTTCAGCTCAGGTCATGATCCCAGAGTCCTGGGATCGAGCCCCGCATCGGGCTCCTTTCTCAGCGGGGAGCTTGCTTCTCCCTCTCCCTCTGCCTGCCGCTCCCCCTGCTTGTGCTCTCTCTCTCTCTTGACAAATAAAATCCTAAAAAAAATAAACACATATCTTTCCATAGATATTCATGCCTTCATTTATATTCTTCAATACCTTCTTAAAGCTTTTTCTGCATGTTAATGTTTCATTTAGTTTATTCATAGGTTTTTTTTTTGAGTGAAGTGGTGCTATTGTAAGTAAGATCTTTTCTTCTGTCATAATTGGTTGTTGCTGATATAGGAGGCTCACTAGATGCTCTGTTGCCCATCTTAGCATGATGTCAAAAATAAAACACCAGTCTGACATCCAAAAAAAGCACTTAAAAGTAAAATAAATCTTAAAAAACATTTCTAAATGTCTATACTCAACAGCAGAAAAGCAGACTGTATAAACAGATTATGCTACTGTGGGTTTATTCAGAATGGTCAGAGAATGTCTTCCTTTTCGGCTGGAATTCCAAAGAGCTACTGCATTTATAAACTTTCCATTTATTTAACAAACAAGCCTTTGTCATGTTGGGGTTTGTGGAAGCCCTGGAGACCTTACTGTTCTCCACTAAGTTTCTGAACAACTTAGAAATAGGCATTCAGGCAGATGAAGATAAAAAGGTCGCCATCGTTACTGACAAAATGGATACTAAAGAACACGGCTGAGGTCTGTGGACACAACTGACTTCCTGACAAACTAGCGGTGAGCCCTCTCGCAGGGCCTGTTCTTAGGACCGAGGCTAGAAGGGCAAAGCAGAATGTGCACACACAATGCTAGTAGAAGGCATTCTAGAATCCCCTTCCTTCACTCTTGCTCCGGTGAGCAGTGAGGAAAAGGGCACAGCAAGGTCGGGGCTCTACTGGGAGGTGCCTCCCCACGGAAGGAAAATCAGAAGCGAGGAAGAAGGTTACTCCACCAACACTCGGCGAAGCTATAATCTAAGCGCAGTATTCTTTTTAGGGACCAAAAGTTCACATCCACGGTTTTTGTATGGTAGTGTTAAATATAAGATTTTGAGGCTGAAATTCAAACGATATACATTTTTACATCGTGTTAACATAAGCATTGGAACTTATGGAAGTGGAACACGGTTCTTACCAGGTTTTATCCGTAAGAGAACAGACTGCAAAATACCTGGTAGACTTTCTTCCATGTTTAACACAGTTATTCTATGGACATAATCACTAGATTATATAGGTAGTATCCTTTAGTTCTTTTGGACTCGTTTTTAACACACTTAATCCTTGGTAAATGTTCTTGTATTAATGCTTCCATTTGTTCAATTTGCTCTCAAAGATCGCATGCTCACAAGAGCATGTACAATATAGGGCCCATAATAAGGCGGAGACCCAGACGAAGGATGCTTGTGAGGGGTCTGGAAAGAACAGTGAGATGTTTGGAGGTACTCACTCTACCCCCACCTCCCTGGCAGGCTCTGGCTGATACATGAGGGACTTTTTTTGCTTGAGGGCAACATTAAAAATGATGAAGATAATTCAAGATTTTATGAAGGTAAATTGTAAGCCGGAGGGGTAGCAATTTCCAAACATTGACCCTACCAGAGATTTAGCATCACAAATCCTAGCTTTATCTGCAAGCAGGCAGGAAGTAAAGTGTAAAGAGGAAAAACAACAACAAAAAAAACTAGGGCAGGCTTTGACTTCCCTGATACCTCCCCCACCGCACCCCTGCCCCTGACTGCATGGGTCCAAGTTTTAAAATTGTGAATAAAGGACGCCTGGGTGGCTCAGTCGTTAAGCGTCTGCCTTCGGCTCAGGTCATGATCCTGGGGTCCTGGGACTGAGTCCCACGTCGGGCTCCCTGCTTGGCAGGAAGCCTGCTTCTCCCTCTCCCACTCCCCCTGCTTGTGTTCCTGCTCTCTCTATCTCTGTCTCTGTCAAATAAATGAATAAAAAATCTTTAAAAAAAATAAAATTGTGAATAAAGGGATCCTTGTACCAATTTTAAGACAAAACTTTTACACTATAAGTAACTCTGCTTAAAGCTGATACTTCTTTTCACAGAAATTCAGTAGAAACTAACATAGGGTTTAAAAGAATCAGGATTTAGGAGAGGAATAAGAAGAGCAGTTGAGACTTGGAATAGCCATCACAGGACATTCAAAGTAGGGCTGGGCTTGGAGATAACAGTCAAATGTTTACTGAATGGTTCTTGCATTAAGCGTTTTGTATGTCATTCTTCAGAATATGCCAACGAGTTAAGCTCTCTTATTGTAAAAGGGAAGCTGAGGCTTAGAGAGGTCATTCGGCGGCGGGAAGAGTGGAGAAGGGGACACTGGAGCCAGGCAGTAGCTCTCTGAAGCTCACACTTTTACAGCTATACTCTGTGTCTTCGTCTTGGCATGCTTCGTATCAACTGGGGTGCTAAGGCCCCTAAACAGTGCTGATGGCTGATGGCTAGGCTTCGAGGTCTAGGTGCCATTGGTGAGCATTTTGAAGTTACACAGACATGGTAGGAAAGCTGTACCTAGAGATCGGCTGACTGTTCAACAAGGTTTTCAAAGGAAGTGAAATCGTGCACTTGCTTGCTTCAGCCTCGGTAATGAGCTCCTGCTTCTGAATCCTAGGAACCAAACTGCTAAGATACTAATGCATCGAATGCCAACTTACTAGTTCGCAATGGTAAGACATACCCTTCCAGTGAGTGACCGGAATATTTACCGTTCAGAGAACTCCCTCCTAAGAATCCAGGTTCATAGAAACCTCCTCAGTCACCGTAACTTTTGAACCCAAATGAGAATAAAGGGACAGGATGGCACCGATGTTTGGGTTCCTAGGAGTGCAGCCGGAACTACAAAACCACAGAGACAGTGCAGGACCAGTTAGTTCAGAAACAAGCACTACGAGAGTGCTGTGACTCAGGATGGCCAAGCACAGTCCAATAAGGATCCTCGTGTATCTTGAGCCATTCTGAGACAACCAATAAAAACTCCTTCAGTTTCACGCAAGTGCTTTCTCTTAAGATGTATGGTGAATGAGATAATCCTGTACTAAGAAACATCACTGACTCTAAACTATTAGCGTTATGATGTATACATTACCAGCAATCCAGGGCCACTGCTGCTAAAACAGAATAAAGATTTAGAGAGAATATCCTATAAAGAGTGAAGAACCTTGACTAAGAGCTCCTTGAGGACCCAGAACACTCAAAGACAGAGGTCTACAAAAAATATTTCTGAAGGAAAAAAAAGACTTTGCTTCTTTGATACTGGGGAATATATACTTCTTACTACCAAAGCTCTGGTCAATGCTTATATTTAAGTCACAGTTTTAAAAAAATTGCTCAAAATCCTATGCTTCAGTGATATTTGTACATAATCCAAAACCCTGTACGGTCGTATTCCTCATTGGTACTTAGAACACACATGAAGGATGTTTTGATAAACTAAGCATCTTCCTATTTGAAATGCAGTGACATAATTTACCAAGTTGGTGCTAGTCAACAAATAGGGACTGAATTTGATTCAGAGAGAATCACAGAGCAGGAGGACGAAACAATGAATATTCTGAAAAAAGAAACTCATGCCCTTTTATTCTACCTGAGTTAAAACAATGATGAGTCACATCGAGTTCATGGGAATTGTAATGACTACTCAAGCAGATCATAAGATCAGTACTATGAACACACTGAGATCATATACAACTAGTGCTAGTTTGGTTTTAAATCTTTAAAACCTCAAAACACACCTTTTTATTTCTTTTAGCACACAAAATAATTTACTCATAAAAGTAACATCCATTTACAGAAATCTAATACTTTTTTTTTTAAATTTAAAAATAAATAGCACTGTTTTACAATTCTGATTTTACAGAGAAAACTTTTTGGCACATAATGTTCTATCAAAATGGAAAGTTGAATCACTTTGCTTTGCTTTTCACAACAGAAATAGGCATTCATGCTATCAGCCTTGGGAAATCAATTTGGTGACAAGAAAAATTTGCTGGAAAACAGCATCATTGGAAAAATGGGATCTGGTGCCATCTATTGAGTGACAATGGTAATGGGACTTGGGTATTAGCCATCAAGTTAGGTAACACATTACAACTGTAGCTACATGCAACTCAACATGTACACGTGGTCAAGGCCCAAAAGTTACATGCAAAAATGAAAACAACTGCTGTTATTAGGATTAAGGAATGGATGGGTGTTTTTTTCCCCCTCTAAATGCCATCCTACCTTTAAAAAAAAAAAGAAATCAGGTAGGTAAAAATGATTGCTGAACCTCAGGAATACTGAAGAGGGAAGACTTTGGTAAATTAAGCAAATGAAAAGTTCCATGATTAAGAGGGACTCAGGCTCTCTTACTCATGGAGAAGCTGTTGGAAGGCAGTTAAGTCTTTGGGTATTTATGGTAGGTCAGAATTAAGGATTTATCCTTTTTTCTTTTTTAAAGATTTTATTTATTTGATAGAGAGAGACACAGCAAGAGAGGGAATACAAGCAGGGGGAGTGGAAGAGGGAGAAGCAGGCTTCCTGCGGAGCAGGGACCCCGATGTGGGACTCGATCCCAGCACCCTGGGATCATGACCTGAGCCGAAGGCAGACGCTTACTGACTGAACCACCCAGGCACCCTCTTTTTTCCATTTACACCAAAAGCTGGTTTATTTGAAGAAATTATCAACCCAGACTGCCAATAAAGTGGCATTTAGGAACTATAATGATAATCAATGCCCATACTGATAATCTGGAGGCACCAAAAACCCTGAAGGGCTTTTCTGATTAGCAAAGAAAATTTTTGCTAGTTGACTTTACTCAAATAGACCTCCTCCACTCCAACAATGAGAATATGCAGCAACAGCTGGGCCACAACCCTGACAGTCTTGGAAAGGTAGATTTTCTGATTTTCATGGACTGGCAGGTTTATTTTTTTGGTAGTAGCTTTTGAGAACGTTACTTTCTTATACAGCTAGGGTACCCTGAGTACTAACAGCATGCCTAAGACATGTTTACGGTTGTCCTTTCCTTCATAACACTTCTCATAATCCATAATTTGTTTCTTAGCTGTCCCCTAAGAGGGCAGGGGACCTGTCTTATTCTGTTCATTACCATACACCCAGCACTTAATTACGTTTGGCACATGTAAGTGCTCAATAAATGTTGGTTGAGTGAATAAATGAATGAATTTTGTATAGTCCAATTGACGTAGGGGGAAAAGAGGAAAAAAACCAACCCTTACAAAATGAAGAAGACAATGATGGAAAGGAAGAAAAATAAGCAACAATCAATTGTGGGGAGTAGACTTGATGTCAAAAAAATTGTCATCTTTTGACAACTGATGATATCTGTTTTGAGATTCAAAATACCTGAAAGATTTTAACTTAAAGTTAATATAAAAACAAAGTCTTTTCTGGAAGACTCATTTACAAATAAGTTAATGAAAACCCTAAAAAAAAAAAAAAAAAAAGATGTAATAGGAACCTAGTGTTTTGTTGTTTCAAGATGGAGAACATTCTGCTAAGTACACTAGCTGAACGTCTACAGCTCCATAGAGGGAGCATAGCACATTGAGGACCTTTTCTTGAATGGTGTCAACTTGCTCAGAAGGACAGTAATCATCCAGACTTGACCTGGAACCAAGAAGAGAAAGAGAAAGAAAAATACATGTAAATAAGATAAGATCACTGTGCAGTGAAGAAAAATCTGCATTTGTTGATTTCAATATAAAATCGAAACGAAGGTATGTTGAATTTTGGAATAGTAACAGTTGAAAGCTACTAAATGTTTACTCTGTCAGGCACATTACATTATGTTCTTTAATCTTCCAGCAATTCTATGAAATACATACATTTATGACCCCTTTAAAAGGAATCTGAAACAGAAAATTACCCTGCACAGGTCACCTAGCTGCTAAGTGCTGGTGATGGGATTCAAAATGACACAACATGTCTTCAAAGCCTCAGTGCTTAATCACTAGACTGCTGTTTCCCCGGAAGGGAGATACTGGAAATACTGGGGGTTATTATCTTAGTGATTGGGCATCTTTCTCATTCTTTTATTATGGGCACAATAAGGCTAGAAATGATAAGAGTAGAGGCTTTCCAACTGATAAAAGGTGTCCACTTCTAAAAACGATCTGTTAAGTATACAAGTATGTAGGATCATCCAAAATGAAATGTGGAGACATGCTGGTTTTGGGATTAGTTTCCCAGGTGGTATTAAGGAGAAAAGAGCAAAGTGGGATGGGGCAGGAAACTGTATTTTGGGGAGTTTTTCCACAATCACCAACTACAACCTCAGTTACCAAGCAGTTACAATGTCACTGACAATTAAGCTGGATTAAGATCTGAAATGATTTCATCACTGTCTCCTGGTTCTGGACTGGGGTGAGGAAAGCCATTTAGATGTGGGACTGGAAATCTTTATAGAAGGAAAGGGATTTAGTTACCTAGCTTCGTCCTTGTCACAAGCATTTTAGACCTAAAGACATATTCTGTAAGACTTCTGATAAACTCATTCCATTCTCTGGTGATCAGGTTATTTTTGAGACTTGATGTAAATAACACACAATAAATGAGACAGAGCAATTTAAAATTATTAAATACTGTCTAATATATACATATGGATAAAGACCTAGTTTGAGAAAATATCATATATAAAAGTTTAATTTATAAGCCTTAATAAATAAGGAGTACTTCGATGCTTTCAAAACGATTTCTGGCTTCTTTAAAACTACTGTAGAGTAGTTCTTGAGGGAAGCTACCCCCAAAAGGGAGTTTTGGAAACCTTCAGGTACATTTTTGATTGTCACAAGGACAAGGGGCCAAGGCAAGAGGGCAGGGCTGCCAGAATGCTTGCAATATGCGGGAAAGACCTGCAATATGAATGTAAATATAAATACTTGTCCCGTGTCCTATATACTTTCCAAAGTCCACAGAATACTCACATAAGTGAAAAAACCTGTTTTTAATTCTTGAGCCTAGAACTTAATGCTCTTCTACATATGAACAAAGTATTTTTGAAAATGGATTAAATATGAACTAAATTTCCCAGGAATGCAGCTATTCTGTATATGGAGAGAAGACTGGACTTTAAGTTCAGAACTTTACCAAGGGGTTGTTAGGACTAGAAAATCCATGTCACTATGGCAGTGCTGTTCATGGTGTTTGGCCAATACATCACATGAGTATTTGTCTGCACTTGTAACTTTACATTTAGTGACTCTGTAGAGATGCTAGTTTTGTGTGACTTTAAAAATTTTTTTAAAAGATTTTATTTATTATTTGAGAGAGAGAGAGCGCACATGCATGCTCACAAGTGAGAGGGAAGGGCAGAGGGAGAGGGAGAAGCAGATTCCCTTCTGAGCAGGGAGCCCAACATAGGGCTTGATCCAAGGACCCCGAGATCACCACCCGAGACGAAGGCAGACGCTTAATGACTGAGCCACCCAAGCACCCCTTGTGTGGCATTTTAATACATATTACTTTATCAGTTACTTTCATTTCTTTTATGTTACAATGATTTTTGTGTATGTATACATATATAAACATATATTTAAATTATGTGTACAGGTAGGTTATTGCTATTAACTAAATGTTTGTGTCCTTCCAAAATCCTTATGTTGAATCTAATTACCAATGTGATCATATTTGGAGGTGATTAAATCATGAGGGTGGATTCCTCATGAATGAGATTAATGCCATTATGAAGGAGACCCCAGAGAGCTCCTTCACGCCTTCCACCATGTGAGGTTATAGGGAGAAGACTGCGGTCTGTAAAGGAGGGAGCAGGTCTTCACCACACTGAATCTGTGAGTGACTACCTCTTGAACTACCCAGCCTCCAGGACTGTGAGGAGTGAATTTCTGTTTATAAGCCACATGGTCTATGGTACTGTTATTGCAGCCTGAATGAACTAAGACAATTATATTATCTATATATTATGTATAATATTTCTATATACTTAAACTTTATGTATGTATGTAGGTTAGATTATCTATGAATTTCATTTCAGGATGGTAAAAGGACATTACAAAATATTTGTCATAAAATATTAAAGTATTAACCTCACAGTTCCATATAAAACCAGCCCAAAGATTAACAGAAAAGTTTTATTAAATTGTTTAACTTTCAGCACATTATTCTCAAATCTGAAACATGGCAGCAGCTAAATAGTCTTTTGGAGACACACAAATGGGAATTCTTGTGTTCATCTGAATAGTATCACCAACTTCAAAGATAAGACAATAAGAACTCTATGTTGTTTGCCAACCATCACTAAGAGGAAGGAGAAAATACACCTGAATTTTGAGCCGAGTAGGTGAAAAATTGATTAGAATTACTGTAATAGTAATCATTAGATTCATCTATTGAGACTGTATTAATTTCCCATGGCTGCTATAACAAATTACCACAAACTCAGTGGCTTAAAGCAACACAAAGTTATTACCCGAGTCCTACAATGAAGATGCTAGCAGGGCTGCCTTCTTCTCTAGGTTCTAGGGAAGAATCTGTTTCCCTGTCTCTCCAGCTTCTAGAGGCTGCCTGTATTCCTTTGCTTGTGGCCCCATCCCCTCCATCTTCAAAGCCAGCAGCCTAGCATCTTTCAATTTCTGATTCTGACCCTCTTGTCCTCCTTTTATAAGGACCACGGGGAGCACACTGGCCCACTGGATAATCCTGGCTAATCTCCTCATTTCAAGATCCTCAGATCCTCGAGTTAATTCTATCTGCAGTCTCTTTTCCTATACAAGATAACATAAACACAGGTTCTGGAGATTAGGATGTGAATATCTTTGGTGGGTCATTATTCAGGCTACCACACCTACCTTGCAATTGTCACAAGAGTAGGTTTTGGTAAATTTTTCAGTAAATAATATACAGACTGAATAAGATACTCAATTTCTTGTTCTGTGCTGATGTGGTGAGGAAGTTCTGAGTAATCACAGGTTAGACCAGCCTGGTGAACCTGAAAATAAGAAAATTAAAAATTACCCTGTTAAGTCTTTATTGTTTTTAGAAGATTCTTTAACCATTAATATCCTTGCTGACAAATCTTATAATATTGTTGTGGACTGGGATTATTTTTTTCCTCAGTAGTTTCTGTGCCACAGAAGTTCTCTATTCTTTAAAGTTTTGGAAGAACTGGCCTGTACAGCTGTTTGGTCTGATGTCTTTTATAGGAATAATTCTTTTAACTACTTTTTAATTTTGTAATTTTGAATTCAGTTTCTGTCTTTGAGTCTATTTTGATAATTCCTATTTTCTAGCAAATTATCCATTTCACCTAGATTCTAAAAGCGGATATAAAACTATACATATTCTCATCTTACCTCTTCTTTCAACATTTTTTTTTTTTAGACACATGCCTCTAATCTAGTACTATGTTCAAAGCTTCAGGAGGATATAAGGGAAAGTCTTTCTCCTGTTACCAGTTTCTTATGTATCCTTTATATGTACAATCACATACTACTGACATCTATAGATGTGTTTTAAATGTTAATGACTGGTGTTCTAGTCTTAGCACTCAACTATGCCTGAAAGTTAGAAGTGGCTCATGGGCTAACATTTTACATCCTCTGCTTTGAAGTTTTGAAAAACGGAACTCAATATGTCACTGTTTTGCCTAGTGTATATGAATGCAAAGCATGGGAAAAAACCCCCATTAATCTATTTTATTGAAGGCTCTGGATACACATCAAAATTTTAACTAGGAACAATCAATGTAGGAAAATGACAGAATGTGCATGTTCTTTTCTATTGAAAGGATCAAAACACTTAGTGGTCTAGTCCTGCAGCTATAGGCACATCATATTTGATTCCATAATCTGCAATCAAGCCCATTCTATCCCTTCCTTCTTTCAGCAATGTCCAAAACCCCATCTACCACTGGAAAATCCTGATGCAATGTAACATTTACAGCAGACCTGCATGAAGACACATTCAACAGTGCCATGCAAGCTGAAAGCATTTTAAAATCCTAAGTATCTTCCAACTCTTATCATTCTTAAAAATTGCCATTAAAAAAAAAAAGTGGGTTTTGGACTAGCTCCAATTTAACCAAAATATTCTTTCATTAGTATTTTTTTATTCTTATAAAGTTGGCATTAAATCAGTACATAAACTTCAGTTCAAATAAGGAGGTTTGATTGTATACCACAACTAAAGAAAACACTAGAGCAAAAACACAATTTATTGAAGTCAAAGAAGCACCAGGAGTAAAAGAAGACTTGCAGGTCTCCGTTTTGGCACAAAATCTAAAAAGACACTTGAACTTCAAATGGGAAAATTTATGCTTCAAAAACTGCGAAATGATATAAAAATCAAAGCAATTATCATTGAGGTATCCACTTTTACCATAGCTTTCATATCACTGTTGGCAAACAAAGTCAGTGATACAGCTGATACAGTTGAGATGCACTTGCCAGAGCACCTTTTTGTCTTTCTCTTGGTTTTTACAATCAGGAAAGTCTTCAGAGAGAGGAAAGAAAGGAGGAGGAAGGGACTATGAAAACAAATTAATAAATAAGGGACAAAATAAAAACATACATAGCACTTTCGCTTCATACATAAAATTGGGAAAAGCTTATTTTTTCTGGAAAACTTTTCCAGTATTCTGACTTCTAAAAAGTTATGTATTTTTTCAGGTCTTCTCATTTAAAAAAAATAATTCATTTACACTTTCCTGGAACACAAAAGAAAACCACTTTAACAAAAAGTACTTTTTCTACTCAGAAAAATGCCTTTCTATATACTTTAATATAAAGTATTTACCATTTCATAGTCTGGTACTTCCATCCGTTTTTTCAAACTCTGTACAAGTGGAATTAGTGATTCCATTCTGGAAAAAAGTCACCCTTCAATTAAACATCACACCACCTCAACTACAATTATAGAAGCAAATGATCTATTACATTTAAAATTTACCTTTAACAATGTTTCACATGATGTTTGAGAAAGATAAAGATATTCAAATATCATCTTAAAATATTAAGAAATAGATGTTCCCTGTTTTTTCTTACCTACAAGATTACAGATTGTGTTAAAGGTTGAAAATTAGCACTCAAGAAACTGAGATTTTCCTCTTCTTTAAAAATGGAAGCTCTACTGTGACTTTAAAAATTATTTTCATCAGCAAGAAAACTAAGTGCCTTTAGCACACAGTGATGAAAAAAGATAGTTTCCCAAAAGTTAAAAAAATTTAAGAACATATTTGACATACACAATTACAATTGGAAAAGTTCTATACCATTTGGTATACTAACAATACTGCCTTTAAGTGATTTAATTTAGGTGGAACTCTTTGGAAGCCATGATTAATTAATTAATGGTTCTAGTATTTTGCCTCCCCCACCAGTATCTACTCATCTGGTGGGAGGGGAAAAAGGAAAGAAAAAGGGAGGCATGGAGGCCTATCTATCCACTCAACCTGTTACTTCTTTCTTTTTATTAAAAACACTTTCTGGGCTTCTGGACCCTAATCACCTACCTCCTCTACTTCTTAATAGTGAAGACTCCTTCATGCTGAGGATCTGGCCCTTCAGGGGCATGGTAAGTTTGGGGAGACTTTTCTTGCTTGTCTCACCCACTTTTCCTTTGTGCTATTCTTTTTTCCCCCAATTCCAGCCACAGTCTGGACTCGCTTCTGTTGTAGCCTCATTGTTTCTTCAAGTCTGTGAGAGAACCCCCTGCAGGTGATGAAGAGTTAACCAGGCATGCTCATAGGCACAGTGAGTTTCAGTGAAAGGTGGCCCCGTCTATGGGCTAGATCAGGACTCCAAGGTTTTCATGCTGTTTTAAGTTTTAAGCTTGGCTTGAGACATCACAGAACCACAAAATAATAGGTACTTTTCAATATTTCTAGAAAGAATCATATCCCATGAGTTATTTCTACATCTCCCTTTCCCATCATAATTTCAAAAAGGAGGGAATCATTTTTCAAATTAGCACTCTATGCTGAAGAAAAGCGTGAACTGACGTTAAAGTGCCTGGTCAATATTTACTGACGTGATAAATATAATACCATGGTTTTCCTTAGTGATGATAAAGTTTTATATTTATATTTCAGGGATTTTTTTCAATATTTTATTTTTAAACAAAAATTACACTGAATATTTTGAATAGGTAATATACACACATAGCAAAAAATGTTTCGGTCTTACAACTTCATCTTTTAGCCATAGAATTCCTCTCCCCAGAGGCAATCTCAATTCCAGTTTCTTCTGTATTCTTCTAGACATCTGATGAATTATCTTAAATAACTATGACATAACAAGTCTTAGTGGCTCAAAGTACTACTATTCTAACTCTCTAATTTATGTTGCTATCTTATGACTGATTTCTTATATTTACACTGTGGAGAATAATCTCAGTTTGTGGAAGACCAATTTGAAAATAAGCTACTTCTGGTTTCCTATGCTCATGTAGACAAAAAAGTTTGTGTCTGATGGTTCTATTTTAGTTTTCTGGCCTTTTGAGTTTATATGATTTAAAGAATTATTTCAGAGACTTAACATCACTAATCATCAGGGAAATGTAAACCAAAACCACAGTGAGAAATGACCTCACACCAGTCACAATGGCTAGAATCAAACAAGAAATAACAAGTGTTGATGAGGATGTGGAGAAAAGGGAGCTTTGGTGTACTGCTGGTAAAAGTGTAAACTGGTGCAGCCACTGGGAAAACAGTATGGAAGTTCCACAAAAAATTAAAAATAGAAATACCATACGATCCAGTAATTTCACTGCTGGGTATCTGCCCAAAGAAAACAAAAACACCAATTTGAAAAGATATATGCACGCCTATCTTTACTACAGCATTATTTACAATAGTCAAGATATGGAAGCAACCCAAGTGTCCATTGACAGATGAATGGATAAAGAAGGTGTGGTGTATATATACAATGGAGTATTACCCAGTCATAAAAAAGAATGCAACCTTGGCATTCATGACAACATGGATGGACCTAGAGATTATTATGCTAAACAAAGTAAGTCAGATAACTACCACATGATTTCACTTGTGTATGGAGTCTAAAAATCAGAACAGATGATAAAAAAACAAACAGGCTCATAAATACAAAGAACTGATGGATGCCAGAGCGGGTGGGGAGATAGGTGAAAAAAGTGAAGGGGATTAAGAGGTCCAAACTTCCAGTCATAAAATCAGTAAGTTGCAGGAATAAAAACCAAAGCATAGGGAATGTAGTCAATGATATCATAAAAGCATTGTATAGTGACATGGTAACTACGCTTACTGTGGTGAAGACTGTGTAATGTATAGAATATCAATTCATTATGTTGTACACCTGAGACTAATAGAATATAGTAAGTCAACTACACTGCACTAGAAAAAAAATAGAATTAGTTTAGGGAAAAGTAACTATACTATTTATGTCAACATTCTTTCAAACTTGCTTTAATACTAAAGGCACTCTTCACCCCACCCTGTACAATGACAGATGATCACGCCAAAAGAACTTTTCTCTCCCATGTTTTCAAGGTAATGTTAATGCTGAGACAATTGGCCCAATAGAGGACCTGATGAAGAATCCAGCTTTCAAATCCTGCTCCCTCATGCCATGGGCAGCTTGAGCTTCTACTCATAGTTGGGCTATCCTTAAAAGGAGGCAAGTTTTCACATCATAATTTACTTGTCTAGTCATTTACTTTTTTACTGATAGGTTAATTTTTTTTTCTTATTCTACTTAGAATGGGGGCTGTCTTACCAATCTTTAATCTTCCCTAAGACCTAGCACCACATCTTATATATCACAGAGGCAGTCACTGCACAACAATTAAGCAAATACCCACTTACTATGTGATTTTGAGCAACTTAAACCTCTGTGCCTTAGTTTCCTCATGTATAAAATGAACATAACAATGAAGCCATCAGATTGTCGTAGGGAATAAATGAGATAAATGCAAAGGAAAAAAACTTAGAATTGGGCACATAGAAAACACTCAGTAAAGGCTAACCATTGTTAGTAAATTTGTGTTGGCACTTAATAGTGATTATTAAAAAGTAATTTATCTAGCAAATTTAACAATATATCTAGAACTAAAATAGAGTTGGGGAAAAAGTGTTTCAAGGTCTTACCCCGGGTTGGAAGCCCATTTCTGTATGGTTTCTTCATCATCACCATCACATAAATCAGCAAAAGCAGCTTCTAAATCTTCTAACTGATGAATTCGAGTATCAACACAATCTACCAAATCTTCCTTTAAACACAATGAAAAGCCAAGATTATAATTATTCTTTGAAAAAATAAGTGAAATCCCATTGCAATGAAAATAGCAGTTCAATTAGTTAAAACCATGGCTTGTTAAGTACTAACCATGGGCTTCCCCAATAAACACACAAAGATTTTGGTTAGATGTTTGAGAGCACTCTAATGAGCTATAAGATATTATTAGATATGTGATAAATAGACAAAACCCAAAAGAAACAAATGAAGGATACCTCTGTCAGGTTGGTACCAGGTTTTTTAAACTGGTACAACTCTTGTAAGATTTTGTACTCTTCCTGGAAAACAAAACAAAAATCCATATACTAGGAAAAAAACCAATTTTTTTCTCAATGATATGCTTTAAGTAAAAAATGGCTATGATATAAGAATATCTTAGATAATCCTTTAAAGATTAGTCTGTGAAAATCAGGGAAAATGTATAACTCAGATGTTATTGTAAACATTGTCATTGCTTTAGGGAACTCTATCCCGACAAGAATGTATGAAAATTAGCTATGGAAAAAGACTTGATATGAAAGATTTCTAATAATACTCTACATTCTAAATGGATACAAGGATCTAAACAGATTTTAGCTTAGTATAGAAAATATACATGTCTTTAATAGCAACAACAAAAACTCTCCATGTTCACTTTGCAGCCCTTTCCCTAGTCACTGAAGAGAACTCAGAAGTTCAAAGGCAATACTGGGGGCAGATACAATGAAGAATGATGCCTTCCAAGCACAGACTCTGCAGGAGAATGTCTCCCCTTTAGCATGCTAAATAGCCCCATTAGAGGTGGGTATATCTGGCCCCAATAATCCCTTTTAGGAGTACTGTTGGGAAGAGTTTATATGCAAGAGCTGAAGTTCATTAAGCACAATGTTGTGCCACGACCCTCATCATAATAATCCTAAGCATTGCGTGTGATTATTTTGATGTTATACTTGAAGAAACTGTGGGTCAGAAAGGTTATGTAACTTTCCCAAGATCATACAGCTAATAAGCACAAGTAACAAACAGAACTTAACTTGCTCTGGAGTTCTGCACATGCTCTTTAAAAAAAAGGATACAAAAATCTCCACTTCCCAGGTTTCCTAATAGCACTGGAAAAGGAGTAACTGCCATTAAGTTCCTTGTATAACTTTGTAGTAATTTTCATTAAAAATATTTGATAAGTATATTTGTAAAATAAATTCCTAAAGTCAGTTTCTTCAGCTTTCAGATATGCCTATTCAAGTTTTCTGAATAGTTCTAAGGTCATTTCATGATTCTAAGAACTTATGGTTATAACCACTGGCTCCATGTACAAAAGCAGAAAGAAATGGCAATTTTTCTCCCTTATTTGCAACTTGGGAGAGTACTCTAGGTCCCCCATTCTTGTTTCAGATTACACTAAATCCTCAAATCTTACCTATTTTTTAATCAATACCTATTTAGAGGTCTTTGATAAATCACAATGGCTTCCGATACATATGCGAATTAGGATTCTAAAGTGCAACATCATTCTAATCAAACACTGAATTTAGGTAGAAAAAAGTTAATTTGAATCCCAAAAAGAATAGACTTGAACAGCCTCCCAAATGTTAAAGCAGTTACTGTGTCATAAAATGCACCCAGGAATTCTCACTTGGAGCATGAATTTATTGGTTTCTTAAATGTTCCATCTCAGATTTGTGCATGCTAATATTGTCTGGCTTTCTGCATTTAAGATCTGATGAGGTACCCTAAGGATCACAGGCCTGAATCATTAGCTACAAATAGTACATGTGTAATCAGGCACCTCATGGTCCAGTGAAAAATTTGTCACAGCACTTTATATATGTAGAATATCTCTGGAAAGATACACCAAGAAACTGGCCATGATGTTTGTTTCTGAGGTAACAAACTGAGGGAATGGGAGTGGGGTGAGAGTGACATTCTTTAATGCATTCGCTTTCTTGTACTATGGGATTTTAGTTTTTTCAACTACCCACATACACATTACCCCAATTAATAAAGATGAAATAATAAATACTATCTAGAGCAGGGATCAGCAATCACAACCTACAACTTGTTTTTGTATGGCCCTTGAGTTAAGAAAGGTACATACATAATTCAATTTAAAAAATAGGTGCATATGATTTAAAAAGGTTTAACAACAACAAGGAACAATGTGTGATAGAAATCATTTGGGACCCCCAATAAAGTAATTATATCTGGCTGTTTGCAGAAAGTTTGCTGATCCCTGATCTAGAGAAATGTCATACAATTCTCAAGATCTACATTTCAAAAATACCACATTTACCTGAGTGAACATTTCTTTGAAGGGATTCTTGACTGAAAAAAAATCCAAGTCAATATCTAAAATAAATGCATCCCCTTTCTTCAAAATTTCCAGAATCTCCCCAGTGCTGACTGTAGTCTGACATTCTTGGCTTTCAGAAGAACAGGAACATGATTGCTCTAGGCAAGTTTGGTCCCTCCTCTCTGTCACTGTGTCCTTTTCCAGTCCTTCTGAATAAGAGTCACACTTAGTAGAGGCAGTGTTTTCTGCATCTTCCAGTGCTAGCTTTGGCTTCTTAGCAGAAGACACTGCATCTTTTTCTTCTTGATTGTTACAGGGTTTATAAGGTTTTACCATAATTACATCCAATTGTAAAGGTTTTTGGTTCTCTAGCTGGTCTTCAGTTACATAAAGACCATCACTTAGAAAGTAATGATCTGTACTTGTAACCCTGGATTAGAGGAAAAAAACGATTTGAAAGACAAATGCACAAATTAGCTGACATTTCATATAGCATTTCCAAAGCACTGCAGAAATGTAACAAAGAACATATTTAACAAAAACTAAGAGTTCTCTCTACTTTTGTTAATTCCTGTTTTTCTACAGAAATAGTTTTCCCCCTAGTTTTAGCTGTGGATGTAACTGCCCAAAGTAGACTGGATTTCATAGCTGATCTTGCAGCGAGGTGTGGCTATTTGACTAAGTCCTGGCCTAAGGCTGTGAGTGGAAGAGAAGCATATATAACCTTGCTCCCCTCTACCTGCTGACTGGTGCATGAACATGCAATTGGCAAGCCCACCTTGGGCTACGAGGACAAAGGCAATGCTCTGGAGATGAAGCAAAAAGATAAAAGGAACTGGGGTTTCCAAACCTGTAAACTGCCACATAGGCCCTGGACTGTGTGTGGTAAACTCTAATAAAAGAAAGAAATAAATGATCCTCTTTCAGCTAGTGTTCTGAATCACTCTCAGCAACTTCATCCAAATAATCACTTAAGAGAAAAATTACATCTGGAAATAATTTCTCTTAACAAAAGCTCCCTCTGATATGTTTCAAAGCTTTGCCAAACTCTGTATAACCATAATATTTTAATATGGAAAACAACTTTAAAATATCTTATACACATGCAGAATGCATTTTACAAGTTACAGATTTCTGATTTTAGACATATCAGTATGTTCTTAGCTTTTCAGCTATATTATGTCTTAGCAAGTACTTGGAATAGCAAAACTAAATGCTTCTTCCAGAGTCGGGCTCTATCCAACTCAAATAATGGTTAATATTTATTTCCTATTCACCTTCCTCCAGCTATACAGCCTTAAATTTAAAAAGCTATTAATTTTCCAAAATAAGACTAATGACATAATACAGCTAATATCCAGGCTTATTATAAATTGTGCCATCCAAAGAATGACAAAGGCTGTATTCCCCAACCTAAATTCGTCTTCTTCTTTAATAAAGGACTCTTCACTTTGTTCATATCTGTATAAACACATGCATCTCAGACTGCATACCTGAGTATGTGTCTCTTCTGTAAACTTTTACTTGCAGGATTAAGTAAAATCACCAGATAATCAAATTTTTCCTAATGCTGTTATTATACATTGAGTTTCAAATGTCTGTTTCAGATTACTCAAAATTATCTGATTTTGCAGAAGCCTGTTAGTCAACTTAGGTCTACTCACTGAAGTACTCAATAAAAGCACTATCATTCTCTCACATATACCAGTATTATATATAATATTTATTCTATGTGGAGCCCTACTTATTTATTTAGTATAACATCCTCAATAAATATAATTTTCATGGATACACAACAAAGTTATTTGTGCAATTGATAAGAACACACAACAAAAATTAACAGTATCATTAAGGATAAATCAGAAATAAAAAGTATCACTTTCAATGAGAAAGACTGTATTTCATTTTCAATGTATTACCATTTTATTCCACTCTCCTTCACCTTTTGAGAAAGTTATGGTTTCACTGCTTAAAACATTCATCCCATCACAAAAGAATGTAGAAAGTCAAGAACACGATGATATTTCTAAAGATAATTACAGTATTGCAATATCCATAAAACATCGGTTAAAGAGCTTATATAACAAAAACAGCTGCACATGTAACTCAAGTCAAAGAATGCTGTAACTTAGATTATCTAAAGCTAATCATATTACAAAAACTAAAATCCCAAATCTACTTTTTAGTCATTGGATTTACCAAAAAAAAAATCCGAAATGAGGTAATTTTGCTTTTTCACTGCCAATTGTTAAATTCAGCAGACAATAATTAGATTGTAAGGAAATAGTAAAATGTATCATTAGATAAATATATGAGGTACTTCATTTAATGGAATTAGTCATCAATGGAACCAGAATTCCAGAAGATGAAGATCATATTATTCAAAACCAACGTGACCAGCAACAAAATATAAATGGTATGTGAAGAAGGTCAAGGGACTTGAAAACTTGTTCATGGTGTTTTGAGAACTCTTTAAAAGAGCTGAGGTTTAATCTGAGCCCATCTGCATGTAGACAACTTATGAGTTATTATGGGGATTCAAAATTAGATAAAAGAAGCATTCATTCCCTCTTATAAATATGAGGAAATTACCTGATTGTTGTGGTAGAAGTGTCTCTGCCTACTAAAAAGTGATGTTTGCCCTCTCTGATTTGCTGAGCCCATGTGGGATGAAGCCACAGCACATGAGAAAAATGGCCAGCATAAACTGCAGGCATAATCCAATTCTCAATACTTAATTCTCTGAAAAAGAAATAGAAAGCATGGAAACTACTAGTAAGTGGCTTTTCCCAAATGTAATTTCACCCAGAACAAGAGTTTAACAATATTCCTGATGGCATTAAGGCATCATTTCCCCTTTTCATTGTGTTGACATTTGCACTGATGGTGCAAAACAATGGTGGGTTGGTATCCTAAGATTAATCAAGGTGATGGCACCAACTCTACTAGTAGTCACGTATTCTTCACTACCAAGCACCACTGCCCCCTCCCAAAGCCAGTTTCATGTAAAAAGGTCCTTCATAATTTTATTTTATTTTTTTAAAGATTTTATTTATTTATTTGAGAGAGAGAATGAGAGAGAGAAAGCACATGAGAAGGGGGAGGATCAGAGGGAGAAGCAGACTCCCTGCTAAGCAGGGAGCCCGATGCGGGACTTGATCCAGGGACTCCAGGATCATGACCTGAGCCGAAGGCAGTCGCTTAACCAACTGAGCCACCCAGGCGCCCGGTCCTTCATAATTTTATTAAACCTTGATCCTGAGTATACATTTTAAATATTCTGGGTGGCAAAATGAGAAATGCACAAAAAGTACTTCTGCTACATACTTTGAAGTACAACGGTTGTCTCAAGGAAAAGCACTTGTGATTCAATTGGAAGGTGAACATCATTTTTCTTCAAAGAAAGACTGATCAACATACAATGGTTATTCAGACTTGAATCTGAATTGTTGAATTCTACATTCGAACTAAGCTTTAAAAAACCACTACTTGTTAGTTTTGGTATGCTACTGAATATTCATAATTATCTGAAAAGGCTATGAAAATACTCTTTCTAAATTTTCTTCATTTACTTCCACCAAAACAACATATGGCAACAGACTGAATGTGGAAGCAGATATGAGAATCTAGCTGTCTCCTATAAAGACAAATATCAAAGAGATGTGCAAAAACTTAAACACGGTTACTCTTCTTACTATATTTTTTGCTTTAGAAAATATATTTTTCATAAAAATATATTTATGCTAACATATTGAAGTCTATTATTTTGAAATGAATTAATATTTTAAACATTTCTCAGTTTTAATTTCAAATATGGTAAATGTGAATAGATATAACCCACACTTAGAAAAATGCTCAGTAATTTTTAAGGGTGTACAGGAATTCTCAGACTAAAAAGTTTAAGAATTATTATTCTATGACTAACTGTACAGTCTGCATACTTGTTTCGTAATTCTTTTCAATTTCTAAAATATAAAACCTCTAAATATAAAAGAGAGTAACAACAATGGTAGAGCTACCACATTTCTTTAGAAATTAGTTCTCTAAAATGGGGTTCTGGAAAAAGTCAACTGAAAGAAATGTAGTAGGCTAAAGTTAATTCATGCTAGCATCCATCTTTTAATTTTATATCATAAAGAAAAATTACTGCTATGTATGTAATTTTTTACATTGTATGACTAGGCTACATCCTAACAAATGCATACATAAGGAGACAGTGGCAGAATTTCAGAGAACTTTATTACAGAAGAGAGTCTAGTAAGTCTTTATTTAGAAATATATATGACCCTTCTAGGGGAAAGTAGTACAAATTTAGACGTTGGAAGGACTCAATACTGGAAGGAAGGATATACAAATTAAAGATGTGTTGCCTATACAACCACTGAACAACGTGTTTAAACACATTTTCTTGCGCCTTAGTATTCAGACTTTTAAAGGGGAGAGGAAGGGAGGACTGGCTTAGGTAACTTCTAAAGTCTCTTCTACTTCTAAAATTCTATATTCTAAAGCTGAGGTTGGCAAACATTGGCTAAGCCACTCGTTTTTGTAAATAAAGTTTTATTGGAACATAGCCACAGCTATTTGTTACACAATGTCCATGGTTGCTTTCCTACTATAAGGGCAGAGATAAGTAGTTGCAACAGAGACCATATGGTGAGCAAACTTAAGATATTTACTATCTGGCTCTTGAAGAAAAAAATCTGTCAACACTTGCTCTAAATAAAATAAAAAAGGCAAACAAAACAAAAACAAAACTCATGAGCTCAGCAAAGTCTATTTCCCTTGTTTATCATGTACTGCAAATTGTATTTCAAACATATAAAAGATCATTAAGAGGGATGCCTGGCTGGCTCAGTTGGTGGAGCATGTGGCTCTTGATCTCAGGGTCTTGAGTTTGAGCCCCCCCATCGGGGGCAGAGTCTACTTAAAAAAAAAAAAATCATTAACAAAAACCACGTATTACCCGAAAAGTGTTTCCTTGTCAAACACTGTGTCAGCTGGCATATTCACAGGGATAAGGAGGTCTGGGTGTGAATCAAAATGCACAAAACTTATGTTACTGGCAGGAAGATGCTTTGAGCCAATGGCCCGGTATATATAAGGCAGGACCTGTAAAAAACACATGCACACATTTGGAATTAGCACTGCAATCATGAGCATATGCTCAGCTGCAGCCTGAAAAACAATGCTTAACATAACTACACATAATTTGAAGCACGCCGAGTTGCTAAAAAGTAGGAAAATATAAAATTTGTTCACTGTAGATGGGTTTAGATAGCGTTCCCAAGCTTTATTTTTTCCTCAGAAGTTCCAGCTTGCACCTCCAAGGGCTGTAATGGGCGTCTCTTGCTGCCATCTTGCCCCATCACAAACTCAAAAGATAATGTGGGTAAACAGACAAGGATTGGCCCTCAAGAAAAAACTGGTAGTTAATACACATTGTGGCATAAGGATGTGTTCAAGCTACCTTGGGTCTTCTGCCCTTTTCCACACCTTAGGATGATGGAGTTAGGCTAGGCGGTCTCTAAGGGTCCTGTCCTGTTACAGTCCCTGTAGTTCTAGGTTTAATACTGAATTTGGAAGCACCGCTTAACCCGCCCTTGTGCTTTTTCTCAGGCCCATACACACTATCTCTTGGTCCTGGGAAACTCAACTTCCTTTCTCCATCCATAAATCCGGAATCATCCTCTCCCCCTTTCATAACCAGAGATCTTCCAAGGCCTGTTAATTAAAAAAAAAAAAAAAAAGTCTCGAATCCATGGGCCTCCCTTCCAGAAGACTAGATTAAGGCACCGTTTTAGCTACTCCAAAGTAGCACTGCCATAAAAATAGTAAATATCTTTCGTGTTTATAAAAGCAGGGCTCGGTGTAAAAAGATTTCTGTACACACTAAGCACACAATACCAACAGCCCTAGGAGTGCTACGATGACAGTCCTTATATCACAGATGGCAGCCCACATTCCTTACAAAAAGTTTCCCACCTACACACAGCCGTGCCGTGATGGAGACGCCGGGGAAAGCTGGAAGCCTGCGTTAACCGGCAGGTTAAGGACACGGGGCTCTGCAGTGAGAAAGCTCAGGTTCGAATCCCGACGCCGCCAGTTGGTGTGGGATTCTGGGCAAACCGTGAAGGTTAAATGAGCTGCCCGACGCATAGTAAGCGATTCAATAAACATCAGCGCCTAGTCTCCCAAGTTAGTCGTTTCGGTGCTTTTCCCCAAAGCAATGGAACTCGCGCGGGTAACAAATTTGGCTTCTCTCTGGCCTTCGATGCCGAGGCTCCGCAACCTCCTTGGCCCTCGCGCGATATTGCCCCAGGACCAAGCAGCCGCCAGCTCACCTCCTGGTGATCCTCCACGACCCACACTGGGAGCTTGGGGTAGCGCCGGAGGCGACCGCGCTCTCCCACAGAGTCGCCCATGCTTTTCCCGCGCGGGAGCATCCCAGCGAGCCGCAATCGCGAGGCTAGGACCCCGGACCGCCGGAGCTGCAGCCCCACAGCCCCTCCCGGGTGGAAACGCGCGCTCACCCGGTTGCGGTTGCTCATTGGAAGATGTAGAGGGCAGGGGGCGGGCACCGGGGCGCTGTACGAAGGCTATTGGCTTTTGTGTCCATCGCTCTCGTTAACGCGCCAGTCACCGAGCACAAGGCGCTGTGGCCCGCCCAAGAGCTTTCCCAGTCGCGGTCCAGCTTTCTCAGGTTTGCTTTTTAATTTCCTCGGTTTCCGGTTCCGGAGGCGCGGGTGGCGCTATGGTCTTGGCGGCTGCAGAATAAGCCTGACTTTGCTTTGACGGCAGCCTCGCGGCCCGAGAGCCTTTTGTAGGTAAAAGGGGCAACTTGCGGGTGTTGGAAGAGGGAGCCTTTCCGAGTATCCGGTTTAAACGGGTCTGGAGTCCGGGGCTGGGGCTAGAGGCGCTTTCGAGTTAAGGTCGGGCAGTCCCTCTTCAGATCTGCAGGTAAGGGCAAAAAAGCGACCCTAGGCCCGAATCCCGCAAACAAATAGAAGTGAAAAATGCGGCCTTTCATTCATTTATGGAGCGCATGCGGTGGTCCAGGCCTGGGACCGCCCGGGTCTCGGAGCGGAGGGAGACCGTGAGCCGAGCGCTTGCCTCGTGGGGCTCACAGTCTGGCGGGAGATGCAAACAGGGAGACACGCAATTACAAATCAGCTGGACGAAGGTGACTGGCTTGGGGACGAAGGTGACTGGCTTGGGGATGCAAGTGAAGGAAAAGGTGTTGTTCTTAATAACGTGGGCACACTTTGCAATTCTTTCAACATAGACTGATGTTCCTGGACGTTTTAACTATGCGAGACAGCTCCCTTGGTTTCCCTGTTTCCAAACAGCAACCTAGGAGTAGACAGACGCAGAAAATAAGTACTTTTACAGTTGCAGTGAATTCCTTGACTTTTGATTTTGAATTAAAGTTTGCATCCATAACACAGTCTGACTATGCCTTCAATATGTCAGTTTCATAATCAGTGTTTCCAGATACTCTCTCTGTAGAAACATCCATGAGGATCTAATCCCGAAAGTTCAACTATTACGCACTGTACAAGTGTTAGTGATCCTGTTTCCCACTTCTAGGTTCAGCACACTCCTTTGTGTTCCTCTAGACCCTGTGCATACCTGTTTTCTGTTGTTTATTGCCTTATTTATTTTTTTTAAAAAATGTATTTTTTTTAAAGTGAATTCAGAGCTTGAGTCTTGCAGGCTATGTGTCTTACTCAACTTTGAGTCCACAGGGCCTGCGACTTGTATAGGCTCATTGAATATCGCATAAATCTGTGAAGAGGCCTACTCTTTGTCTGGTTTTGATACTGCAAATATGTCATGGATATATGTGAAAGGGAAGTGTACAGTAGCAACATAGAAACATATGCCATTGATGAGATAGTAAACATTTATTGACCACCTACTATGTGCAGGATGTTCTGCCAGGGGCTGTGAAGGATACAGAAATGACTATGAATCAACCCATGTCCTCAAGAAGCTAATAATCTAGTGGAGGAGTTAGAAATGTGCACACATGACTATAATATGAGACAGTCTCTGGTAAGTGCTGTAAAAGAAGTAAGTAAGTCTAGAGGGAATGGGATTACTTTCTAAAGGGAACTAGGAAAGGCTTCACAGAAGAGGTGGCATTTGACATAGGTAGATGAAAGTCAGTGGGTAGATTCATAGAGCAGGGGATTTTAGAAGAGCGGGAGCAAAGAGCAAGCTGGGTGATAGTACCTGGTATGTTAGGCAACTGGGAAAATCTGGGGTTATAGGTACTTCATAGGGAAGGTGATAGAGGATAAACCTGGAAGAAGTTGGGTCCAGGTTGTAGAAGGCCTTAATTGCCAAGCATGGAGTTTGAATTAGATTCTGTTGGCCATGAGCCATGAGTGGCCTGTGGTGGCAGGTCAACTGTGTAGGTCCTAGGTTTATCATGAAGGCCTTAGACTGAATGATAATCATAAATCAGATATTATTTGATGCCTACTAGTTATTAAGCACAGTGATTGAGACAGCTAGATAATCTGACATTATTTTCTTGAACCTTTGTAAAAATCTACCTTAAGCCTATTGGTAAAACTTTTAGTTAGACTTTAGGAAGATGCTTCTACATTAAAGTTTTTTGTATTTAATATTTATTTGAGTTTTTAAAATATTTGCTGAAGCTTAAGTATTTGGAAAGTCATTCACGTTCACAGCATTCTTCAATGGAAAGCTGAGGATGAAATCAAGGATAACTGTTGTGTTTACAAACTATATTTGAATTTGATTGCTAGTCTAATTGTGATAAGGACATCTTAAAAGTTAGTTGTAAACTTTAATTCGGGGGAACATACTCTTAATTTTGTCAGTATGCTCAATGCATTGGAGAATGCAAAATCAGTGTTAAGATAATTGCAGACATTAGCAGTTTGGGAAACATTTTTATGCCTATTTTATTCTTTCTGTCCTCTAGCGCTTATATTCTCTGTGGAAGATGTGACATATCCAGACAGTACGTCATGATGCAAGGCAATACGTGGTGAGTGGTGTGACAGTAATGGTGGGAGTTTTGGGAGAGCAGAGAGAAGAGCAAACACTGGCACTGGGCCCTAGAGAGTGGGAAGGATTTTGATATGTGCAGAGAGGAGGAAATGTGTTCACATGGGGCATGTACATGGCTGGGAGCACAGTCCAGAGCCCTGTCCTGATGGAGTTTATATTTCTGAGGTGCAGCCAAACGTGAAAGTTGGAAGGAGGTAATTAGTTGGTGAATTGTGATTACCGTAGGACCTGCCAAGAAGCAGCACAGAGTGTGAGAGAGGGAACCTGACAGAGGCCTGGTGGGTGGTAATAGTGATTGTAGAAAGGCCAGGAAGGGTGTTGTTATTGTAGCCAGGGAAGAAATGCTGGTGTGAAGTGGATGAACTCAGGAAATATTTATATGAAGCAGAAGTGATGGGAATTTAAAATAAATTTTTGGCTAAAGGGGATAAGGGAGGAAAAGTTACCAGATAATTCCCTGGTGTATGACTTGAGGACCAATAAATGCTATTATCTATCGAGATAGGAAACATGAAAAGAGGAGCCAGTGGTATTGTCTTGGAGGGGAGGGTTATTAATTCCTTTTAGGACCTGTTGCATTTGTGGAATCTCTGCTGAGTGTGGAGGGAGGTGAAGACAGGAAGATGCTGGTGCATATGTAGAGAATGTGGGGTGTGTGGGTAGGGTGACATGGCAAGGTTCAGATTTTTGGGGAGCCTGAGCACGGACAACAGCAAATGATTAAACAGTGGGATGTTGAGTTCATTCTGGAGGAGGAGCAGCTTTAGGGAGTGACAGAAGCCAGGGACTGAGACAGAGGAAGAGGAGTTTATTGGCCATGAGGAGTTTGAGGTATTACAGAGAACGGCAACATCAACATCAGAATAATCCAGTGGCTGAAGGGGGTCTGTCAGTTGCTCTTAAAGATGGTAAGGTGTTTGCGAATCCCTGTTTATGGTGAGTTTTTGGTTCTTTTTTCTTTTTCTCTTTTTCTTTCCTCCTGCAAAGTCATAGAATGTCGTTCCACCCAGGGCGAGGGTGTCCCCGAGGGCGGGGAGGACATGGAGCCAGACCCTCAGCTCCAGCCTTCAGGCCCCAAAATCTGAGACTACTTCACCCTCAGCAGCCTCCTGTGCAATATCAATACGAACCTCCAAGTGCCCCTTCCACCACATTCTCGAACTCTCCAGCCCCCAATTTTCTGCCTCCACGACCAGACTTTGTCCCCTTCCCTCCTCCCATGCCTCCATCAGCCCAAGGCCCTCTTCCCCCCTGCCCTATACGGCCCCCCTTCCCAAACCATCAGATGAGGCCCCCCTTCCCCGTGCCTCCTTGTTTTCCTCCTATGCCGCCTCCGATGCCCTGTCCTAATAACCCCCCAGTCCCTGGAGCACCTCCTGGACAAGGCACTTTCCCCTTCATGATGCCCCCTCCTTCCATGCCCCACCCTCCACCCCCTCCTGTCATGCCACAGCAGGTCAATTATCAGTACCCTCCAGGATACTCACACCATAATTTCCCACCTCCCAATTTTAATAGCTTCCAGAACAACCCCAGTTCTTTCCCACCCAGTGCTAATAACAGCAGTAGTCCTCATTTTAGGCACCTCCCTCCATACCCACTCCCCAAGGCTCCCAGCGAGAGAAGATCCCCGGAAAGGCTCAAACACTACGAGGATCACAGGCACCGGGATCACAGTCATGGGCGAGGCGAGAGGCATCGGTCCCTGGATCGGCGGGAACGAGGCCGAAGTCCCGACAGGAGAAGACAAGACAGCCGCTACAGATCAGATTACGACCGAGGGAGAACGCCCTCCCGTCACCGGAGCTATGAGCGCAGCAGGTAAAGCACACGTGTGTTTTTAATGAACTGCAGAGGTCCAGACACAGGCCATTTGGGTTTCTCAGAAAACCAAACCAAAACGGTCCCGCAGTGCATTTTGATTTGCAAAGGGAAGAAAGCATGTTTGGGACTGTTTTGAAGAGGAAGAGACAACTGACAAGTAGTTAATGTCAGAAAAGCCACTTTTGAAAAGCATTTCAAAATTATCAATGTAGATTCATTGCAATGAGTGTAAGCTCATTACTCTGCGTAATACAGCTGACTTTTTTTTTTTAAAGATTTTATTTATTTATTTGAGAGAGCGAGAATGAGAGAGAGAGAGAGCACATGAGAGGGGGGAGGGTCAGAGGGAGAAGCAGACTCCCCGCAGAGCGGGGAGCCTGATGCGGGACTCGATCCCGGGACTCCAGGATCATGACCTGAGCCGAAGGCAGTCGCTTAACCGACTGAGCCACCCAGGCACCCAATACAGCTGACATTTTAATGGTGCTCTAATGAAAGTTCACATACTGCTTTTTCGTGTGTTTTTTGCATTATCGTATTTACTTTTGTTCAGTATGATCACCGTATCAGGTTAAAGCACCGGAGTTCTTTTGGAATTGATCTGTGTATGCGATCAATTAGGAATTGAACTAGTTAAGCAGAATTTGCTTTCTGGTTTTTAGGATAAGTGGAAGTTTATTGTACATAGTTGCCTTCTTGCTCTGTTTCCTTGTAAAGTGCAATAACATTGGTTACACATCATCAGAGTTTTCAAAATAGTTTTTAACTTGATTTTGTTGCATTGAAATGTATTCATACTGAAGAAAGTCGTGTTTGAAAAATACTGCTTCATTCCAGATTACATTTGTTTTTTTTCAAGAGACCAAATATTTGTACCAGATACATATAAGAAAGTAAGGTTTCCAGCAGGCATTTCTAAACTGGGACTCATAGATGGGTTTATAGAAATGCTCTGAAGTTATATGCAGAATTTTACGTGTATGCATGTTTTTCTGTAAGTAAATTGGTACCTTACAGCAGAATCTCAAGACTTTTCTCCAAAAGTCTAAGAACCAGTGGTTTAGATGGAAAAATAAAACTATGTAGATAACAGTTGTACCAAATAATTTGTACCTTCAGTGAACTCTTCATATTGTTGAAGTTTTCCATTTGTTGAGCTAGTAGTGGTGCTTCTCTTTCTGTCCCCTGTGGTGTGTTTACCTTCATTGTCGTATGGAACTTTTGTGCTAAAAGGGTTTGAGCACTCCAAACCAGGTCGCTTCACTATGTGCGTTTGTAGAGAGCTGATCTTGGCTCCTGTGGAATCAGTTCACTTCTTGGTTTCCACATTTTTCACATGGCTGTTGGTTTTCATGTTCATGACTGAACATTTTGCCAGTTAATGGTGGTGGTCATTCTCAGTCCTGAAGAGAGTGATTAGTGCTTGGAAGGTTTGGAAGGAAAATGTGTTGTTTTTCCACACATGGTGTGGTGCCATGAGAAAATGTGTTGTTTCCTCTTCGTGATGCCCTCTTCGTGATGCCGTGGAAGGTAGACGGGAACTTGCTTCCTGCAGAAATGACTGATTTCTGGTGGGCCAGAGCTGGTTGAGAGTTGATAGACTCTAAAAAATCTTTTCAGTGTGAATTACTGTTTTTGGTCAATTTTGGCCTTAATTATTCTCTGAGGGACTAACTGGCAGAGGCCTATGATAGTGTATTTGATAACTTTATGGTGAAAGTCTAAACTGGAAAGTGTTAATAGTTTTCTTTAGACTTTGAAATGATTGTTAATAATCCTGTTTCTAGGGAAACACTTTGCTGTGAACTCAGCTTTCTAGATGGGCATTTTTTTTTTCATTTTGGGGTGATGTAGTTAAGTTTTTAGGACTCTGCTATAAAAATCCTAAATTCTTGCATCAGGCTTAAACTTGGAGCTGTGTGTTTCTTTAAAGAACCTCATGTCCTGTCAAGTGAGGCTCTCTACTGGTAAGTGAAATCAGGTGCCATTAATCAGCGTTATCCTAAACCACAACTCCTTTACATAATAAAGACCTGCTTAGGCAGTTAGCTCATCTTTCTACATGCCTTTATTTCTGTTGGAGTCGTCTTGTAATGCACTTGGGGTGTTTGCCCTGGAGCTGCCTTAGTGTCACGGCCACATGATAGTAGGCCCCCTTTGAGGTCTTAGGTAGAGTGTCAGTCATCTGTCTTACATGGAATGTCTCTGTGAAAGAGAAATCGGGCACATGATGTCCTAGCATAATTTCTAGAAGTAAATTGGAAAACCAAAACTTCACAAATTTGTGCATTAGATTGTGTTAAATTTATGCAAATTCTATAGTCTGTCCTCTGGCTACTTCTCCCCTCCTTCTTAGGGTAAGTCAATCTATCCTTTTTCAGATCCCATCTTCTTTTTCTCCTCTAGAATATGGTTGAATACTGATTACCAGATGTTTTAGGACAAACTATTTCTAGAGGAAGTTTTTGAAGAAGTGGATATGTGTATTTGTTATCAGGAAAGATCAAGGTTAGTCTGGGGAATGGGAAAAGAAACAATCTCATGCAGTGCACTGAGCATGCTCTTCTGCAGTCTGGTGGGGACAGTGCACTGAATGGTGCTAAAGCACAATAATCCCCATAGCTGTCCTGGTGAGTACAATGTGTAGCCATCAGAGAGCTAGTATTATGTACTAAGGAATATTTTAATGCTTGCAGACACGGAAGAGTCTTTGGAAAAACAACGCAAACATTGTTCTTCTTGCTTTAAATGGGTTCATTAAACAATGTTACTAATGTGCTTTATATCCAGATTGGCCTTTTCAATTCATACCCACTGTGAGGTAGCAATCATCATCAGAAGTATCATTCTCAGATGCAAAATTCTATTGCCCACATGTTAAAATACAAACAAAAAATTAGGGATGTCCTTTCAGTAGAGTTTTTATTAGCAAATACAGGCGATTATTCTTTGCATCCGCCATGCTCTTACACGTTACATTTTATCTGTCATGTGGTACCACTCACTATTTGGGATTTTACTGCTTAAAAGTAAGCTGTAATTTCATTTATTAATTTTTTTAAAGGAATCTCTACACCCAATGTGGGGCTCGAACTCACAACCCCGAGAGCAGGAGTTGCATGTTCTACCGACTGAGCCAGCCAGGGGCCCCAGTAAACTAATTTTAGAAGTGTATCAAATAAAGAATGTAGAATCCCGAGCTCTGGCTACTTTATTTTGGACAGCTGTTGTATACCTGAGGCTTACACATATGTTAAAAGGAATCTTTCCTGAGGAGGGGTGATCTTTAAGTGAAAAAACAATTTCTGTTTTAATATCTAAACAGTCACATTTCTCGATCATTTTTGTAAGTTTTGATTTTCAGTATATTTACATTTCTTCTGTTTGGCTATTGGTTGGGGGATGTTTTTGAATTCAGACATTTTTATGGTCTTCTAGCTGGACTCAGGCTAATAGAACTTTTTTTTTTTTTTCTGTTCTAAGATTGGATGGTTATTTCCCTTAGATTTAGTTCTGATTTAAACACACTAGAGTTCCAAGTTTTGTTCCAGATCTTCATTGTACTTATTAAATAGACTCAGAAGTTATTATTATTATCATTATTAAATTCCCATTTTACATTGAAAGGTTTTAAAATCCCTCATTCTATTTTACATTGCATAAACCCAATGTCTCCATTTAGAGTTGTTTCCAGATGAAAACAGCATTTCAAGGTAAAGTGACTTACAATCTCATGGCAGTCAGCGATACCTAGAACTACCACTCAGGCCTCTAACCTGTAAGTTTAGAACTCTTTAATTATAGAACCTTATCTTAATTTTCACAATAAAAGCTTTAATTTACATTTATTTGATGGATGAAATTGGGAGTTTTCTAGAAATCACTAGGTAGTAGAAACCTTTAAAGTTTTCCCTGTAGGTTAAACCACCGAGGATTGGCTGGTTGGAACATCTGGAGAGATTATCATAAATCCCTTTGCTGCTTAGCATCAAGTATGACTTCTTTCTTTGAAGAAAACAACAAAAAATGTCCAAGTTAGTTAACTTCTGTAAAGTGAAAAGCTCCTTTATCCTTTAATAAATGATGAATAAAAATGTCCCATGGAGAATAGTGCCTGAAAAATTTGTAGGTGAGGTCCATTTATTTAGAAGATGAATTCAGTGAAAAGAGATGGTGTTTTTGAGTCTTTCTGTTGAAAACAGCTCTGTGTCTTAATTCCTTTAAGAGAGCGGGAACGGGAGAGACACAGGCACCGGGGCAGCCGAAGATCACCATCTCTGGAAAGGTCCTACAAAAAAGAGTATAAGAGATCTGGAAGGTAAGCAAGGAGTTGACACTGAAAGAAGTCCTAGATCTCCTTGAATTCAGGTTTTGTGCTTATGCATAATAATCACCAAGTCTTCAAACTAGCCTAAGAGTCTATCCAAAATGCCCTGTGAAAAGCTAAAACAGCCAATAACTTAAAAACCTTTACTTTCAAGATGTATTGAAGATGCACAAGGAAAATCTTGATAGATTTCCAAAAAGTTAGAAATTATACAGGCCAGTTTTTCTGACCTCAATTGCTATAAAACTGTATATACATTAATATTCAAGGCTTAAAAAAAGAACCTTGGGAATTCATAGTTATGCTCTTAAATTTACTTGTTTCAGAAAAAAAAGTAAAACTGCAGTCACACTTTATTTAGAAGAATGACATTGAGATTGTTGTAAACCAAAACTTAGAGGGTGTGACCAGTTTTATATCAAAAGGTAAAATTTATGGCCTTATATAATGGTAATCAATCACAGCACTCTGGAATCTGACAGATGTGGGGTCAGTTATTCTCCCAATTTTGATATTGGGCAGAGTTATCTAACCTTTTTAAGCTTCAGTGTCTTTGTCTAAAATAAGAACAGTTACACTTGCTTTATTGAGTGACGAGGAGTCATTGAGAGAATAGGTGTAAAAACACTTAGAGCTGGATCCAAAGTTAGTGTCAAAATAAAGTGTCAAGTAACTGTATGTATACATTTTATATGTAGGATTATATATAATATATATAAATATGTTTATATAATTATCATCTGATTACTTGGCTCTACATATTGGTAGAGTATAAGAAAAGCAGAAAAAGGGATTTAAAGATAAAAGAAATTAATGAAATAGCAAACAGAACTATAGCACTGTAACAATATTTGGAAGTAAATGCAAGACTTCTTTGAAAGGTCATGTGATTTAAAAAGTGGCAAATCAGGAAAAGAAAAACATATTCCATCAGGTATAAGAAAGAATGTATCATAAGAGTGAAGGGTATTTAAAAATTCTAATATGTTGGTGTAAGTACAGATACCATATTTACAAAATTTAAAAACTTGCATGTGATGGGTTGATTTCCATGAAAGCAAAAATTACAAATCACATAAGCAGAAAATTTTAATAGGCCAGTAACTATGGACAAAAAATGGAAACAGTTGGATTTGTACCACCTCCAAAAAAGCTTTAAACTGTTCTAGAACATTGGTGAAGTTGGAAAGAGAGCTCAGCTCATGCTGTGATGCCCAGAAAACCGACATGGCAAAACGTAACCTAATGGAAAGAAAACTACAAAACAATCTCTCTTATGAATATGGATATGAAAATACTGATTAGTATATTAGTTGTTTTCAGTAGCATGTTAAAATAACAGTTTAGTCCAAGATTGCATGCATAAATAGGTTAGTATTAGAAAATCTATAAGTAATTCTTTGTGTCAAAATCTGTAGAGCTATCTCAGTTCCTGTTTATTAGGTATTTAAAATAGAACCAGCATCCTTTTGTAAATAGAAATTTTTGTAAACCAGGTATATAAGCAGACTTCTTTAACATGATGGAGAATATCATCTCGTGATGAGCATGACTGACACCATCTCAGAAGAGCCAAATTTGGTGTTGAAACCTTTCAGGCCTTCCCATACAAGTTAGGAAAAAGATGTGGCTCTATTGCCTGTCACTGTCACCTGACAAGAAGTGAACAAAACACATTGCAAACATTGGTGTGAGTGATACAGTCATTCACAGGAGTCCCCACTTTACAGGAATGAGAAAGTTAAGTGCCATGAGAAGTGCTTTTGATAGAGCAATTACACATTGCCCTGGGGACGCAACAGCAAGAGCTCAGTCTCGGGTAGTCATAGAAAAATTGACATTTTACGTTTTTTACAATTGATACTTGAAGTGTGTATAGGGATGCGTTAGGGAAGGGGATGGTAGTTAGGAGAGAAAAGAGCATGTGTGAAGGTTGCAGTGTAGACAAGTGCTCTCAGAGGGTCAAGCGTGGACATTGGGAAATGAGTTTAGACAGCTTTCGTAGTAATCCGTACAAGTGCTTATGCCTAGACCAGTGCAGTGACGGTGGTAATGGGGAACGGTAGAGGTAACTGAGAGGTATTTATGAGATAGAGTCAGTAGGATAACTGATGGTGAGGAAAGGAGAGTCAGCAGCCATCACCTGAGACGTGGTGCTCCCCATGGGGGGTGGGGAGCATTAAGATGCAAGATGAGTACAGTTTGAGCATGTGGAGTTTGTGAATCTGTAAGACAACCAAGTGGAATTGTGTGGTAGTTAATTGGGTACACAGGTGTAAAGTTCCGAAAAGAGATCCCAGCTGGAAATACCAAATGCCATGGATTAGATGATATTAACAAGGAAGAGTTTGTTCAGAGAGTGAGGGCCGATGGAGGAGGAGCTAAGGACAGGAAAAAAAGCTAGATACTGTGTTGATAGAAACCATTGAGGACCCCATTTATGGTGGGTGATTTTTAATGTTTAGTGCTGGAAATCTCTTTGGTCTAGTGATTTCTTCTCCAGTGACCGGTAGCTTGTGAAGAAGGCAGAGACTTGGATTCTATGAGTTCCAACTAATGCAGTGGATGAGAAGATGAAAATCAGAGATATAAATATTGTAAAGGAGGAAAACTTACAGTTTGTAGTATAGCTTATTGTGAAGAAAAGTTCAAGTTTGGAATTTGAATTTTGGAGTGCCTGAGACACTTACCTAAGGAAGATGTTTTGCTCCTGTTTTGAAATGACCCTCTCAAAGTGTTAAAAAAAATATTAATTGATATTCACAAGAGGCAACCCTGACCATCCATCATTCAGGACACCTGCTTCAAGGGGAGTGGTGTGAGGATGGTTTTGCCTCTGTTTCTCAGCAATAAACATTTGGTGGGATTTTAGTACATGTCAAAATGTCTGTGTCAAACAACCGTATTAGCATTTAACTACCACTTAATAGCTTTGTGATATTGGGCAAGTGATGCAGTTTCTAATTCTGTTTCCTCTGTAGGAGATGTTCATATCTGCCTCATAGGATTCTTCTAAGGATTAAATGTGAGTGTCAGTAAAGTGCTTAGCAGAGTGTTAGGCTTGCATTAAGCACTAAAATAAACATACAACCAACCAACCCCATACTAGTGGAAGCTAAGAGTTGCCATTATTAGCTAATGGTATTAGCAGGAAAATTCAAGAGGATCAGCTAAGAAACAATGAGAATTAATTCACTGAAGTTGAAATTATAAAAGAAACATACCAAAATTAATATACTTGCTAAATACCAGAAACACCTAAGAAACCTAAATACCAGAAACACCTAAGAAAATGTAATGGGAAAAAATGTAGGTTCACTATTGAAAATTTAACTAAAATTAAATATCTTAATAAGCTTAAAAAATATATAGATCAGTGTGAAGAAAACTAGAAATGTAGCTGAAGACAAGGTGATGTAAGTGAATGGAGGCATGCTATGTTCCCACAGTGGAAGTGGACACCAGGGTCGTGAAAATACCAGTGTTCTTCAAATAATCCATAATTTTAATGTAACTTCAGTTGAACTACTAGTTTTAAAACTTTATAATGACTCCGATTCTTCTTTGGAATAGAAGTGAAAATAATGAAGAAAAATAATTATGCGGGGATACTTACTTTAGTAGAATTAAAATATTCAATACACAGAATAATTAAAGCAATTTAATGTGGGTATAAAATATCCTAGATATTGAGCAACATTCAAGTAATATGAAAATTTACATCTATCATAAAGTTGTTTCAAATCAGAGGAGAAACTGATGGGACAATCGACAAGCCATATGGAGGAAAAACTGAAATTAGATTTCTGTCTTCTATCTCAGAGAGGTAGAATAAAAAAATTTTATGTTAAGGAGTAACTGAAGGAAATAGAAAATATTTATTTAACTTTGGGATGGGAAAGGATTCCAAGCATTACACTAAGGCAGGCAGCGTAAACAAAAAAATCTCTAGATTTGGCCGTGTAAGTTACATATAGCAATAGAATTAAAAGGAAAAAAACTGAAAGAGGTTGCATTCCATTTGACAGAAGAGCAGTTACCTTAATAAAAAAACTTTTTCAATGAATAAAAAAGACTATACTCCTAATTTTAACAATACTGGCATAGCATATGACTGGAATGTTCATAAAGAAAGCGAACATGAAACGTTTCAGTAGTGATAAAAAATTGCAAGTTAAATAAGATAACTTCTTTCATCAGAATGACAGAGATTAAAAAATCATGTTGACAAGATGTATGGAAATGGGAACTCACATACAGTTTTGATTGTAGTCTAAACTGGTACTACCTATCTAGAGAGAAGCCTTAAAAAAGAAGTATGCATTCTCTGTGTGTAATAATTTGACAAGTGTACAAAGAACACAAGTGTGTTCACAGTAGCATTGTTTATGATGGCAAAAAAAAAGAAAGGTAACAACCTAAATGACTCTGATCAGATTTGTTAAATTATGGCTACATGTATAACAAGAATAATATGCGCCTGTTATAAAAGTGGTTCAGGTATAGCTGTATTGAAATTTAAAGGTATTCCTGATTTTCTTTTGAGTGAGAAAGGCAGTCTGTAGAGTTCCTTTTTTTTGTTAAACTGTGTATGTTTTTATGTATATATAGTCCTATATCTATATGTTTTAACACATTTGTGAAATGTAGTGGTTATCTTGGAGTGGTTTTATGGATGAGTTTTGTTTTATTTTTGTTAATGCTTTATTAGCTTTCTACAGTGAATGTGTATACATTTTACAGTAACTTCTGGTAACAAAATATATACATTGTAACATTCAGAAGTTATATCAATAAATAATCAGTATATGTAATCTTTCTAATCACTCACCCATTCCCCGCTGCACCTTCACACACTTCCTGTCATAAAATGAGAAGTTAGTGGTAGAGTTGATGTGAATAGTTAATTTATGACTTTGATCCAGTTGTAAGCTTTCTTGGATTATAGTAACTTTGCTAGTTGTGGCTGCAGAGGATGCCCGCATTATACTAATAAAGCAGTTACTCTCCCTGGCTGCATTCTCAGGGTCTGTATGGTTGCATTTAAATTTTTGGATCTTAAGTTAAAATCTATCCTGTAGGTTTTTCCCTCTAAACACATCCATAGGATGGGCCTTTGCATATTTCAAGCAGGAATTCAAGGAGATTGACTTGTTTTTATCCTTTTTAATTGAGCTAATATTAGTCTGTGCAGGGATCAGAATTTGACAAAGTGGTGGTTCACTAAGTAGTAACCCAAGTGTGGGCTTCCAGAGAGGTGGTTAGGGAGGATATAACTGGTTCACTCTTGGATTATGGTCCTAGGCTCAATTTATTGGCCAAGCTGAAACAATGTTTTGTGAAGCCTTTCTTTTTTCTTGGCAAAGCAAGCCGTGGAAGATTCAAAACTAGTATTCTCGTTGCTGACGTTGTGGAGATTTTCAAGTATTTCCGAAATATCTTTCTCTTCTAGGAGTTACGGTTGGCCGGTTATCCCTGAACCTGCTGGATGCACACCAGAATTACCTGGGGAGATTATTAAAAATACAGATTCTTGGGCCCCACCCCCGGAGACTGTGAATCAGTAAGTAGATCTGGGGTAGGGCCTGGGAATTTGTATTTTTAAACAACTAACTTCAGGTGATTCTGATGCCATCAGACTAGTGTTTGGGAATCACTGGTTTAACAAAAGCAAATATGGTGGTTTGGAATGGCATTTTTATTTTAGGTGAAAAGTGAACTAAACAGGTGAAATAGAGTCGTTTTACAACATAAGAGCATTTTAAATAATTAGCGTCCTTTGCCTCCTTTTAAAGTCGCTCCCCAAGTAGGGAGAAAAAGAGAGCTCGTTGGGAGGAAGAAAAAGACAGATGGAGTGACAGCCAGAGCACTGGCAAAGAGAAGAATTATACCTCAATAAAGGAAAAAGAGCCGGAGGAGACACTGCCTGACAAAAATGAGGAGGAGGAAGAAGAACTTCTTAAGCCTGTGTGGATTCGCTGCACCCACTCAGAAAACTACTACTCCAGTGACCCCATGGATCAGGTGGTAGGTCCGAGAAGCTGTAGACCAGGGTTTCTCAGCTTTGGCAACTTTGGCATCTGGAGTCAGATAACTCTGTGGTGGGGCCTGCCCTGCGCATTGTAAGATGTTGAGCAGCATCCCTGGAATGTATGCACAGGATGCGAGTAGAACCCCTCCCCACTTGTGATACCAAAGCTGTCTTCAGATGTTGCCAAATACCGCCCCCCACCCCCCGCCCCGGTTGAGAACCTGTGCTGTAGACCAAAGCTGTTTTATACAACCAAAGGCAAGAGTGCAGTAGTAATTAAAGTATCTCTTCATTCTGCATTTTTATAACACTGCTAGTCTTGATACTGGTGGTTTGGTAAGTTCTCACACGTAACTACTTTATGCAGTTTGTGGTTGTGCGTTTGTGTGTATATTTTCCCCCCAAGGTGGGAAATAAGGAAGAATTTGAGTTTGTCTCTTATAAGTCTGTCCTTACCAAAGATAACCACAGGAAGTTTCCTATGCGTATTGGCTGGTTTTGTGGAATGGTAGGGATAGTCACCCTTCATGGGCTGTTGAGAGATTCAGTGCATGTGCTGCTCAACATGAGGCTCCTGGCCTTGGCAGCCCACTCTGTCATTGCTGTGTCGGACTCCATGACCTCCTCTTTCATATGCTCGCTTCTTTTTCCTTTTTTTTCTTATATCCATTTGATTTTTGGTCGCTCTCTAGTCTCTTTCTCCTGGTAGGTGTTATGACTCCATCCCATTAATTTAGACCTGTTTGCCACAGGGTAGACATATAGGCTCATTGATTAAATGGATGAGTGAAGGAATGATCATCTCCCGGTTTGGGAGGTAAGAGGCTGGAGATGTCAGCTTTAGTGGGTGGGGTTAGATAAAAGAGCGTTCTATTTGGAATTTTGGGAAACTAGCTTGTACTTGGCCTGGGCTCTTATCTACAGGGAACTTAAAAGTAGATTTTCTTGTCTTTGGAAAAAAGAATTTGAGAAATCTCATGGTGCTGTGATATTTTACTTGATAAATTAGAGCAGGGTTCTAAGTCGTGGTTCATGTAATACAGGAAGGGGAAAGTTCACATGCTTAGTACCTTTATGGTGCTGCAACTTCACCCATGCTTCTCCTATTACCTTACTTAATCCTCAAAACATTCCTGGAAAGATTATCTGTCCGTTAAGAATGTGGCTGTGAATAATAATGCTTGACTAATTGTGACTTAAGCTGGGTTTATTTCTCTCAACAAGTTGTCTGGAGGGAGACGGTGGCTGGCGTTCATTTAGTGGGTCAGTGATGGCAGGGCTCTAGGTTGGCATCTGCTGCCTTCTGGAGCATCCACCATGGTTGCAGGATGACCCCAGGCATCGTCTTTACACACTTCTGTCCAGACATAGGATGCAGGGGTAGTGTTGGGTATGGCCATCCTCCAGGAGCTTGCCCAGAGCTCCCGTGGATCTTGTCTTCCATCCCTTCCCCAGAACTACATCATATGTCTTCTCCAGGGCTTCATTTTCCATTGCTGCCATAACAAATTTTATTATTATCTTTAAGATAACAAAGTTGAAGACACTGAGGTTCAAAGAGTTTGAACAGGCACAGTTTTTTTTTCTTATATTTTTATGGGTGTATTAAAACTGGTATAGAAGAAAAGCTAATAAACTAGAAGCCCGACATTTGCATTTGTGTTCTGTCATCTGGTGCAGAGAGGTGGCAAGAATGTCAGCTATCCTAGATTTGCCGATGTCAGTAATGAGGTGAGGCTTCGAAAAAGCAATTACCTCTTTCGGGATAACTGCAGATTTTATGATTGGCTTTAATTTGCTTTTTATGTCTGATAGGTCTGGTCCTTACATTTTGAAAATTACTAAGTTGGAGAGTATGGACATTTAAAGCGATTTTAACTGGGAAGAGAGAGTGGGGCAAAGTGGAGGATTTCCTCTAGGAATGCATTGTAGGACCCTGTGTTTGTGGAGTATATGTGTATGTGTGTGTGTGTCTGTGTCCCTGTATTTATGGGGTGTATATGTGTGTGGGGGGGATATATAAGATGTTTCCTTCTTCCTTTTTTTACTTAAAGCTTCTATTTATTATAGAGAGAACGAGTGTGCAAATGGGGGGAGGGGCAAAGGGAGAGAGAGAGAGAGAAGCTTGAGCAGACTTAATGCTCAGCTCAGTCTCATGACCCTGAGATCATGACCTGAGCTGTAACCAAGAGGCAGATGCTTAACTGAGCCACTCAGGTGCCCCTGTCTTTGGCATTTTAAATGCTACCGCGATGTTCCTTTTTAAAAAAAAATTTTATTTGAATATAGTTGACAGCGTTACATTAGTTTCAGGTCTACAACATAGTGATTCAACCAACATGTCAACCAACCTTATGCTATGCTCACAAGTGTAGCTACTACCACCTGTCACCGTGCAATGGTATCACAGTGTCATTGACTATATTCCCTATGCTATGCCTTTTATTCCTGTGATTTCTTCATTCCATAGGATATTGATTTTTGATTACTGGGTTAATGTGGAAGATAAGACAGTGATTTTTAGTAGCGGGGAAGTGTATGTTCCCTAGGAGAGTGTCAGCTATCGTGAATTCCTATTGGGGGGGTCATGATTTATTCTGTCACATCAAAAGGGCATAGACGAATAGTTCTTATGTTTCTCAGTGTTGGCAAAGCGCATTTTCCTGAGGATTGTGTTAGCCATAAATGTCGTATGTGATTCAGAACACCATGGCCAGCATTGGAAATTTTGTTTTTAAATGTTTGTTAAATTGAAGGAGATGGCACCTTGCTGTTACAAATCCTTGATTATTTGTGAGGTCATATGTCTCTTTGGTATGGCTACTATTAATGTAGTTCTTCATATTGATCCTTTCTTTTTCAAAGGGAGATTCTACTGTGGTTGGAACAAGTAGGCTGCGTGACTTATATGACAAATTTGAGGAAGAGCTGGGGAGTAGGCAAGAAAAGGCCAAAGCTGCTAGACCTCCGTGGGAGCCTCCCAAGACGAAGCTAGATGAAGATTTGGGTGAGTCAGAAGTTACTAGATCAAGACCCTGTGCTCTTGTTATTGCTTAAACCTCAACTTTGGGGATGTGTTCTTGAGAGTCCCACATTGAAATTTCCTCTCTTTCATTTTATTTTCCTTAATTATGCTCAGCAAAATACGTAACAGTGGAACTTTCTCTTTTTTGTCTTACTTTTCCTTAGTTACATTCAGCAGAATACATAAGAGATCTCATTTGCAGGGCATGTTAACAGTTGTGTCCCTTGTAGAATTGTCCAGTTTGAGAATCAGAAGGGACCATAGTCCAGCCTCCCCGCCAAAAGCAGGAGTGTGTTAACCCTAACCCTGTGCCTTGTGCCTCTCATGGGCAGGCATTCCCTGTGGCCCTCTCCGCTGCCAGGGAGCTCCTGCTTTGATGAGGAAACGCCAGCGCTAGGCCAGCTCTGATTGAAGGTTTCTTTCAACTCACATGGATACTTTCCATAACTTTCTCATATGGTGGTCTATTTTTTTCACGTGTATTCTGAGGTTGCAAGTAGATGCTAAGATCTTTGAGGATAGAAACTGCTTTTTACCACTTTGCGGTCTTAGCCCCTAACAGAAAGCCATTCACAGATGAGGCCTTCACTGTGCCTTTTCCGTGTTCTCTGGCTCTCATCTGCCCACCTTCAGTATGTCTCCCAGCTGAGAGACAGTGTTCATGGTGGGCAAAAGCACTGATGGAACCAGCTGGCCTGGGTTCAAATCCCTGCTCTACCACTTGGTATGTGACCTTGGACAAGTGATTTAATCTTTCTGTGGCTTACTTTACTCATCTGTAAAAGAAGGAAGACAATAGCATTTACCTTATGCAGTACACTCAAATATCCAACTATGTAAGGGTTGAGTTTTATTACTGTGCTATACTACGTTAATCTCTTGTAGGATTAACCTAAGTTCTGCGTCTGTTTTTTAAAATTGTGGTAAAGTACATATAATATATAATGTACCATTTAACCATTTTTTAAGTATACAGTTCAGTAGTGTTGAGACCATTTACGTTGTTGTGTAGTCTCTAGAACTCTCTTGATTTTGCTCAACTGAAATTCTGTACCCATTAAACGACTCCCCAGTCCCTCTTTCCACTAGCCTCTGGCAACCACCATTCTTTCTCTTTCTATGAATTTGAGCTCTCTAGTACCTCCTAGAAGTAGAATCACACAGTATTTGTCTTTTTGTGACTGGCTTACATCACTTAGCAAAATTCTCAGTCTGTTTTTACCTAGTCACTTTGAAGGACTAAAATCTTCTTTTGCTACTATGGAGAGAAAAAAATCTAAAATCTTCAGTCTGGAAATCAGAGCCCTCAGTCTGGCGTTCATGACACCCGAACCCCTTACCTCCTGGTGTTCTTCTGTGGGGCCTTTGCTCTAGCCAGAGTGCCTGTGCTCTTCCCTCCATGCTTTGGTCTGAGGGCCCCCTCTCCTCTCAGCCCCTCATCAGCCTAGCTCTGCCCCATCCGTATGTCTGGATCCCATGCACCCCTTCCAGGAGATCTCAGGGACCCTCTGGATCAGGGTGGACCCACCCTTTTTTGAATTACTGCACCTTTTTAAATGTGAGACTCCACATTGCTACTGTGGCATTGTTCATTAGGTCTTTCTCTAAAACTCTGTTTTCATTGCTTCCGTAACTAGATTGTGACTTAGCACCACGGGCTGTATTATTTTCATGGTATTGCTTAGCAGAGTGCTTGGTGTGGAGTAGGCACCCAAATGTTTGAAAGAATAAACAATTGGGAATTTCTTCATCTTCTCTGTTTTCCCCCCTGACCTCTATTAGAGAGTTCCAGTGAATCCGAATGTGAGTCTGATGAGGACAGCACCTGTTCAAGCAGCTCAGACTCTGAAGTTTTTGATGTCATTGCAGAAATCAAACGTAAAAAGGCCCACCCTGACCGGCTGCATGATGAACTTTGGTACAATGACCCAGGCCAGGTGCGCATGTTTTTATGTTGTGTTCTTGCTATGAAGGTTGCAGACCCACACATGACATTTATGACTTCAGGCTCAGAAGATGCATGTTGGCTGGTATGAAAACTGAATTTTACTCTCAGGTTGTGTGTCATTCCTTGGAGCTTATTTCTCTTCAGCTTCAGAGTTCAGCACCAAAGCATAAGCACCAGCGCCACTGTCTCCTGAATCATGTTTGGTGATGTTTGTAAATTCTGTGTTAGGGAGCAGGGTAATGGTGTTGCCTCATTAAACTTGCAGTAAACGGAAGGAGACAAATGGCAGGCTGAGGGAGAGAGCACTTGTAGATCTTTTTAAAAGCAATTCATCTGGAAGGTATCTTGCAGTGATATACTAAACAATGTCTTAAGTCCTGTAAGACTTCATATTTTTTAGTTGGTAATAGTCACAATTCCTTGTAAGTTCTGTTCCTTGTTAAGCATTTTTGAGCTAATGATGTCATAACTGGACATAATCATTTTTATTTTTACTTAACTGTTTTATTATGAAGTAACACTTTAATACCAAATAGTATCTTTATAAAAGATTTGTATTCTATAAATATACAATACATATAAAAATAGTATCTTTAATTCACACGAAGTTATTAACATAATAAAACATATACCTATCAAAAGATAATGTAAAATGCAGACTTTATAAATAAATGCATACCATTCTATATTAATTTGAATGTTCTTCTGGTTCTTGGTAGATGACAGCTATCTGAATGGTTTCTTTCTTTAGAATTAATATAGGCGGAATGCCTGACAGAAACGTATTTTGTGGTACTTTTTGCTCTCTTGGAATTGAGCAGAAATGTTTATTTTATTTATTTATTTATTTTAAATAGATTTTATTTATTTATTTGACAGAGACCAGCGAGAGAGGGAACACAAGCAGGGGGAGTGGGAGAGGGAGAAGCAGGCTTCCCGTGGAGCAGGGAGCCCGATGCAGGGCTTCATCCCAGGACCCTGGGACCACGACCTGAGCCCAAGGCAGATCCTTAACGACTGAGCCACCCAGGCGCCCTGAGCAGAGATTTTTAAAAATGTGAAGCATTTTGAACTTACTTTATGTTATTAACCGTGCATATGATCTCTTTAAGCAGCTTTAGTGAGTTATAATTCACATACTATGCAATTTACACACTTAAAGTGTACAATTCAATTTTTTTTTTTTTTAGTGTAGTCACAAGATTTAACTACCATCATCACAATTTAATTTTAGAGCATTTTTGTTTCCCCTAAAAGAAATCCTGTGTCCATTAGTTGTCGCACCCTTTTCCCCATATGTGGTCTTCTTAACACTCTGTTGCTCTATCAAGAAGCCTATTCCTTGGTTTCTGTGTGTTCTTTCCCTCCCTCCCTCCCTCCCTCCCTCCCTCCCTTCCTTCCTTCCTTCCTTCCTTCCTTCCTTCTTTTCTTTCAATTTGAGAGAGAGACAGAATGAGCTGGGAGAGAGGCAGAGGGAGAAGCGGGTTTCCCGCTGAGCAGGGAATCCAATGTGGGGCTTGATCCCAGCACCCTGGCATCATGACCTGAGCTGAAGGCAGATGCTTAAGAGCCACCCAGGCGCCCTTGTACATTCTTATTTTTATTAGAGATTTACAAAGGCCTTCTATGTAGTCTCACCCTTCTGTTTTCTATGTTTGGTTTGTGTCCTCCGTACAGTTGAGCCTTGTAAAGGGCCGATCTGCCCTGGGGCCAAGACCCTGGTAAAGGGCAGGAATGTAGGATGTCTGTGTGCTTCTCTGGAAATCAGTGAGCATGAAGTGATTTCTCCACTGACCAGCATTAGGAGTGGTATTGTGACTTTTGAGTGAAGCCCATCACAACTCGGTTTACCAACTGTTACTGTGGATACTATCTTAATGTGATTTTTTTAGGTAGCGATGTTATTCCTCTACTGTGCTACCTGAAGCTTTAGATTTTCCAAAAGGATAAAGAAAGTTATCATTTTTCACTTTAATATTTCTTTTTGAAGTTTTATTGAGACATTTTCATTGGACGCGAGTTACAAATCCCTAGAACTTTAAGGAAACGTGTGTGTTACATCGTATAATATGTGTCTTATACCTACATATATATATTTTTAATAAATACAAAGAAAGTGAGAAATGGAACTCTGCTTCTCCATTCTGCCTTGAATTGATGCTCTGGTCTCTGTTTTGATTCAGTATTACCATTTGTATTGAATAAACTCATGAAACTGGCTTTTAAGGCCCTTTATGATTTTGACCTCAGTTCTGTGTCTTTGGTCTTCTTCCTCGCATAAATGATCCACTCTGTTTAGATGGGTCTCATGTCCCTGGAGCATAACGTAGGCTTTCTTCCTTCCCTTTTTTTCCTCATGTAGAATACCCATCTTCTTTTCCTTTCCTGTTCTGCCCTTCACATTTTGTTTCTTTAAAGCCAGTGATACGGTATCGCCACATGGACTCTTTCCCTTTTTCTTTAAATTAGTAAGTATATCATATGTATGTTATTTCTCCTGTCTAGAGTAAATATTTCTTGAATACATGGAGTTATTTGTCACCCTTCTTTCCCCCTAATGCTTAGGAGTCATCTTTCTATCTAAGAGGCATTCAGGAATTATTCACTCATTTTATCACATGGGTGGAGTTCATGGCAGTAAAATGAATTCAGGTGAAAAAGCAGACATTGACTCACCTGATTAGCATTGAGTTTCTCTCCTTCTAGTAGCATTTTTTCCCCCTCTGCTTTAGATACCTTTAGGTTTTTCTTTTGGAAACATTTAATCTGCAGGTCACCTTCAAAACATTCTCTGTGTTCCTTCAGGATATAAAATGTGCTTTTCTTTTGTGAAAGAGTCATATTTCCTGAAATAAGAAATGTGAGAAACACACTGAAATAGTGGTAGGAGAAGACGGGGGCAAACAGTGCCTGACATTGATATTTTCTGCTTGGCTGCACAAATAACTCGGGAATCCAGCGTTGTCATACGGTTTCCCTTTATCAGACAATATAGACGGTCTGCAGCTTTATTGGTTTTGGAACATCCGTTTAATCTTCTAACCATGACAGCCTCTTCAGAGCTCCTGTACTCATGACATTAAAACACACAGAGTTTCCGAGGCCTCATTGTGCGTGGTATGGATTTTCCCCCCAATAAAAAAGAATTACATTCTGTTTCTGACAGATGAATGATGGGCCACTCTGCAAATGCAGCGCCAAAGCAAGACGCACAGGAATCAGGCACAGCATTTATCCCGGAGAAGAGGTAACTCATTTGGGTTATTATATTTGTAAGTGCTGAGGAGTCAGAAGTAGACAGATGCTGTTGCTGTTCTTTTCCCATAAATGAAATAATGCCGTTGAAATAGTCTTTTTATCTTCCCTAATAGTCTCCATTACTGATAATTGGAGAAGAAGAGTACTTGGGTTTTGGGGGATGGAGTGGGAAATGTTATAAAGGAAACTTTAAAAAGTTTTGGAAGATTCATTGTTTAAAACAGGCAAGGTGTATTTGAGGAGTTTTTGCTGTTGTTATTTTAAGTGTCTTAAAACTGCGCACATGGTAATTTTTTCATGCTTTTGTTGTAAATGGTTGTGAATGACCTTGGAAAAATGATCTTACTAAGCTACTGTAAGGCACATGTTCTCTTAACCTAGGGGTATATAGGTATATAAGGGTATGCTGTCGTCTTTGTTAGTCTGTGGTCCCCACTAAACTGTGAGTGGCGCATGGACTATTTGACCTGTGTACCCCATCCCCTGGTTCATCAAGGACATTCCAGATATGTTTGACTGAATGACTTGAATACTTTATATCATAGTTATATATAACTGCTCCTTTTCAATTATTTTCCTTCTTGCCATCTTTTATTTTTATGTTATTAATCCCAGATTATCACTTAATGATCCAGCACATTATGTTTAAACATAGTATGTGTAAATCCTTAATTTCTGTGGAAGACTTGTTTGAGACCATAACAATAATGGGAATAAAGACTCTGTGGCAGGGATGGGTATTTTTAACTACTTCCTGGCTTGGACCTCATTTGTCTTTGAGTGTCAGCAAGTGTAGCAAGGAACTGTGTGAGAGGATCTGCACCTTGAATGTCCATACCTGTGCCTCAGGTGGGGCTCTCTGAAAGCAGGTGCTGCAGTAGAGTTTGCAGTACGAGATGTTTCATAGGGTTAGGCAAGAAGAGAGTGGAGGCAGGATCGAGCAGAGGGAGAGGTCCCCTGTGCGGGGTCTCATAAAGCTGGAATTGCTGGACCTGTCTTGAATGAGGCTGGCATAGCCTCCGCGCCCTCTTTGCCTTCTGTCCTCAGAGCGGGCTGCCCTGGGAAGGGCACGATCTTGGGGAAGGGGGCTCTGTAGCAGAGGCTGACCCTGAAGGAGCCGGTGGCTGTGGGCTCTCTTGCTCTCTCCACAGCTGGGCAGCAGGCCCTTCCTTGAAGGAAGGTCTGGGTGGATGGCTGTGCTGGCTGAGGACTGGTGGGAGGCAAGTCCATACTTCTGGCCCTTTCAAGATGGATGGGGCCTATGTAGCCAACCACCTGCTAAGTGGCAGGTTGGTCTCTTGGTTGATCTCTTCAAGGAATGGAGCCATTTTGGGGGCCCATCATTGGTCATTGTAGATGGCCTGTGGGAGGTTCGGTTTTGGCAGTTGGTGTAGCCAGCTTAGCCTCGGTAAGTCAGGTCCGTGCTTTTGGGCTCATGTGAAGTAGCCTGTACTACTGTGGCCACTTCATTCATGTGCCCAGACTGTCAGCCCTGGGTAGCTGATAACCGAGGCTGGCTGACCCCATCTGGCCGAGTCATTTTGTCATTGAGGTGGTTTAGTACCTCTTCTGTGGAGGGCGTGGTGTGTGCTCTCCACCCACGTGTGATAGAGATTGTCGCATTCACTCCCACCTGTTCACCCACACGTCTACCCCAAGACCTTTTTTTTTTTAATTTTTAAAAAATTTTTAAGTAATGTCTACACCCAGTGTAGGGCTCGAACTCACAACCCCGAGATCAAGAGTCACATGCTCCACTGACTGAGCCAGCCAGGCGCCCCTACCCCAAGACATTCTTATCCCTGATCTTCCAATCTTTTTCCTTCTAGGCCTCTGACCAGCTGGCATGGCCACTTGCCTCTGCCATGAGTCCATCTATATTCTAACCTCAGGCTGCTTCTCTTTCCACACAAAGCGGATGACCAGGTACATTGCCTGAAACTCTGCTCACTGGAAAGACTTGCCCTCATCGCTGTCTTTCAGGTTCCTCCCTGAATGCAGCACAGTCCATTGTGGGCATGCTCCCCCAGCCCTGACTGACTCGTTTGCAAACCAAGCTTGGGCGCGTCCCTCTGCTTTCGCCTTTCTGTCCTTGGTCATCAGCCGAGGGCGGGTGCCGGGTGCCCGTGTTGGGCCACCCGCTCCTGCAGCTTCTTTGTGCCTCCTACTGCGCCTGTGCACCTGGCTCTGGGTGAACAGCCTCCATCTTATGATGGATTGTTGCTGGTCCCCTCCAGACTTCTGCGTGGGACTGACAGAACCCAGCTTGGGATGGGCAGTTCAGCCACATGCCTCTTTCTGTCTCTTGGCCATACCTTCCATGTCACCCAGGGCCCGGTCGCACACTGGTGGTATTTCAGAGGCATATAATTCTTCACTGTAGGCGGCATGGCTTTGTCCCAGAGCACCAGATACCAGCATTGTGATTCTCCCAGTGGCCACAGAACCCCCCTCAGCATCTTTTCCCACCAGCGTTGTAGGATTTGCTGCATTATGTGGCTCCGACAGCAGGGCTGCTCGCACCACAGCTTGGAAGCGCTGGCGCTTTTCTCATGGGGCCACACTCAGAGCTGGCAGCATTCTGCGCCTCTCTAGGAATGGCCCGGAACAGCACTCCTGGGTGGGGATTATACTGCCTCCCGAAGAGGCCCACCTGCCGTTGCGCTTTTGTCTTCATTGTAGGAGGTGGAAGATGCAGTGATTTGTCTTTTATTGTGGACTGATGTCTTGGCATTCAGATCCCTGGCTCTTAAAAATGGTGTGGCTGTGGTAGGCCCCTGAATCTTCGCAGGGTGTTTCTCTCACCCTCTGCAGCATGCGGGCTTTGCCGAGGCTTTTAGTTTGGTAAACATCATGTCACAGATGCAGTGGAGCACGATAATGTTCTGCAGTATGTCCAGAAGTCCAGAGAGCTCCTTGGACTGTTGGGACAGTGAGTGGGAGAGTTAACACAACCTCGCAGCAAAACTGTAACTGTTGTCTTTTCTATGTGAATGAACACAGAATGTGAACCATTTCTTATCCTCATTCTGATTGGGATGGAAAAGAACACATTCAGCAAATCAGTTGCTGTCCACTTTGAACCCGAGGTCATATTAATCTGCCCTGAACTGTAGCATCTGGCACAGCTGGGGCGGTCAAAGCTACTACTTGGTTGAGCTTGTGGAAGTCTGTAGTTATCCTGTAGGATCCATTTTTTTGTTTTTGTTTTTTCCTCCGGAAGCCAGATTGGTGAATTAAAGGTATGATAAAGACTGTCACCCCTATGTCTTTTGGATCCTTAAGGATGGCACTAATCTACACCATTCCCCCAGAGAGATCCTGGTTTTGATGCCTGTGTTGGGGATGGTGGTAATTTTGGTGGCTTCTGCTTGACCTTTTCCAGTATGATGGCGCTTACTCCACAAAACAAGGACCCGGTGTGGGATGGTGCCATCTGCCGGTTTTGTCAATTCCAATGAAACATTTCGGGGACCGGGGAAATGCCCCCTGGGCAGATCTGTGGACTCAGGGGACCTGGACCTGTGGTAAACCAGACCTTGACTGAGATTCCTTTTTTTTTTTTTTTTTTACCTTGGCTTTGTATCACCCACTCTAATGTGAACCGAGGTGAAGTATCCAGTCCCCTCTTGAGTATCAGTGTTGATTCAGATGCTATGTCCAATACTCCTTGAACACCCTTGGTTCCCCTTTCCCCAGTGTACAGTTTTTTGGGTAAATGGCCATAGGCCCCTTTGGGGAAGGACAGGGTTGTCAACCATTTTTGCTTGCAGTGGTGTTGCAGGGCCCTTCCTACTATAGGTCTGGAACTGGGAAAGAGATCGTGAGTGTTCATTGGAGCAACCTACCTCCAGCCCCTTGGTTAACCATTCTTGATTTCTTCTGTTGGTACAAACTAAGTATTACTTTTGTCAGCTACTCAGTTATTTTACCTAAGGGTACTATGTTCTATGAACTACTTGCATGACTTTTTGTGGGCCAGACCCCTTTAGTTGCCACTTTGATCTTGCTGGTTATGATGATGCTGTGAGACCCGGCTTCTAACGATTAGCCCCACCATCTTGCCTCCCGTGTTTCAGAGCCCTGTCATCCCCATTGCTGTGAGAAAGCTCTGCTCTATGACCACCTCTCTTACAGTCAGCCCTGGCCTGCAGAGGAGGCCACCACTGATCTTCCCAGTGAGGCTGGTGTCCCTTCCCCGGCACATTCCTTTTGGCTCCTGGTAGATGGCCTTTGGCATGTCCTCTGGGGCTTTTCATGAGATAAGATAATCTGGTGTATTTTTCAGTCACAGATATTATATCCATTCTAACGTGCCTACTTCCTGACTCTCTGAATTACTTCCTTTTCTGTCATGGCAATTTTGGTATTTTAACCACACTCATAGTGGGCCATTGCTTTTTCATGCTTTTAGGAGACATCCTAGTAGGGAATTCCTGGCATCTGGTGTCCCTGAATCCTGAATGCTCGCAAGTCAGTAAACCCTTCCCTAACCACTTTTGTGTTCTGGCCCTTTTGGTCAAGCCCTCTCAGCATCCAGTCTTGTGCAGACTCCTGCTGCTGGCACATGCTGGCTAGTTCTTGCAGTTCCTTTGGGATATAATCTCTCCTTGCAGCACCTCCCCAGCTCGGTTATGCTGTGAAGTGACCCTAATTATAGGTCTCTTGGCCAGGAGGGGAGACTGATTGGGGGGAGGCAGCGTTGCCTTGCAGGGTCTTCCATTGCCTTCGGACTCAGGTGAGTGATTGCTCTTAATAGACAGGGTTGGGCCACCTCTGAGGAGATGGAAGGTTTCGAGGGGTCTGGGGGGTTAAAACCTGTATGTCCTCATCTCAGGTTTCTAAGTCTCGTCCCTTGGCATAAGAGATCTACCCAGGTTGGCTGTAAATTGTCTCTAAGGTCCACGCATCTCTGACCCTGGGTTTGGTCTTGGCAATGCAGGGGACAGCTTCCCTGTGTGCCTCCAACAGTCCATCTGGCTTTCAGTTGCCTCCCCCGCCCCCCCCCCCCCCCCCGTTACATTTCTGTGGAGCTGGGCTTCTCCAGGTATCAGCTTCACCTGGGAACTCCTTAGGAGCCAGGTTCTCAGCCTGCCTCATCTGCTGAATCAGAAACCCTGGGGGTGGGGAGCAAGCAATATGAGATATTTAGCAAGCTGTCCAGTGACTTCAAGGCACACTGAAGTTTGAGAGACATGGTAGAGCATCAGTGGTGCTTAGCAATAGCCATCTATCCCGTTATCCTGATAGCATGCATTCTCTCATAGTCTTAAATACCTGGTACACTGCACCTGCTTCCACTGGTACACCCTCCCAGTTCACCATCTTTGAAAGTTTTCAGTGGGTCTGCCATCTGGTGCCAGGGACTCTAGCTAACCACCATGATGGGGTCCTTATTGCCAGCGGGCGGTAGGTGATTTCAGCTCCAGAATCCTATCTTACCTCCAGCTTTCTTGGCTCATTCCTGGAGCTACACACTGGATTCTCCGGAAGCAGATGCTAAGATGAAGTTTGGGTGCCTCATGTTTCTTAGGGAACTTCACCTGTGAGAGGAGGAATGTGTAAGCAGGACTGGACAGAGGGACCAGCTGAACCATGAGTCAGCCCCGGTGATGCAAGGAAGGGGAGCAAAAAGACCAGATCAGTTTCTGTTTTCCATTTCTCATCTTGAACTCCATGCGTATTCTATGCTGCCACCTCTCATGTGTCCTTCATTTCTGGTCCCTTCTATTTTTACTGAGCACATTTAATGATCCTTTCATTGTTTTTTTCCCCCATCAAAACCTGCTATTACTTTTGAAATGCCCCCCCCCTTTTTTTTAGCATATTGGGAGTTTAGCCAAAGGTCAAATATTGTGTTATGTTACAATAAAAGGAAGATAGTCCTAGAAATTAAGATCTAGAAAGATCTTCATGTTGTCTGAACCCCTTGTATTGCATGCACATGAGGAGATTGGTTGAATCCTGGTGACCAGCCTGTTCTTTTTTATTCATCTAGTTAATGGTACTGTTCTTCCTACCAACCTGTGAAGGAACACACGTAAAAACTCTTTTGTCAGATGCGGATCTGGAAATACAGTCTGTTTTTAAATAAAAATATTTTGCTACTTTTCTTTTAAACTCACTTTTGTTTTTCCCCCTCAGGCCATCAAGCCCTGTCGTCCCATGACCAACAATGCTGGCAGACTTTTCCACTATCGAATTACAGTCTCCCCTCCTACAAACTTTTTGGTAAGTTACTAACAAAGTCAGATTTCATTTATTTTATTTTATTTTATTTATTTTAAATTTCATTTATTTTTAAAATGTAAATGGGTTGGATATGTACAAATAGGTTTAAATGTGAATAGTCTCAATACTGATTCAGTTTTTAAATTTTCTTTAAAAAAATTTTTATGTTGATAAAACTGGCCTTTATCATAATGACTTTTCTTTTGCTTCCTCTCATTATACTACTTACTGTACTTTTTTTCAGTTATGTTGTCAGTTCCTCATAGTAGCCACATTCATAATAGCCATGACTTTTGGAGCTATTCATTGGAGCTGTGGAGTTGGAAGAATGTGTAGAACACTTTCTCATCTCTTAAAAATTAGTGAATAACTCATACTATATCTAGTGACCAAATCAAGAAGATCTGTTTATTTATGACAGTAATAATAATACCTAATATTTGTTGACTGTGGTACCAGGCACCACTCTGAATGTTTAACATGTATTAACTTATTTCTCACAGCAAACTGATGAAGGAGAATTATTATCCCCACTCTACAGATGGGGCAGTAATCTCTGTTTTACAGATGAGGTTAAGTAACTTGCTTAAGATCATTCAGGTAGTAAGTGGCAGAGTGGGGATTTAAACTTAGTGTGACTGAGTGTGCATGACTGCTATTCCACTATGCTCTGTTGTCTTTCACAGTGCAAAGTTATTAATTCTATTACCTCTATCACCAAGAGATTTCAATTTCAAAATTAGATTATTAGTAATTATATATTTTAACAACTTTATCAAGATGTTCATATACCATAAAATTCACCCATTTAAAGTGTGTATTTCATGATATAATTCTTTTCACAGAATTGTGAAACCATCACCACAATCTAATTTTAGAACATTATCATCATCCATCCTCAAAAGAAACCCTGTACTCATTAGCAGTTAGTTCTTCCATATCCCTCAGCCTTCAACAACTAAGATACTTTCTGTCTCTATCATTAGCCTGTTTAGATATTTCATGTGAATGGGATCGTAGAAAATGTGATCTTTTTCGCTTCTTTCACTCAGCGTAATGTTTTTAAGATTCATCCATGTTGTAACAATAACTTTATTCCTTTTTTTTTTTTTTAAAGATTTTATTAATTTGTCAGAGAGAGAGCACAAAGCAGGGGGAGCGGCCGGCAGAGGGAGAGCCAGCCTTCCCCGCTAAGCAGGGAGCCCAGTGCAGGACTCGATCCCAGAATCCTGGGATCATGACCTGAGCTGAAGGTAGATGCTTAACTGACTGAGCCACCCAGGCACCCCAAACTTTATTCCTTTTTATGGACAAATAATATTCCCTTGTGCGGGTACACTATATTTATCCATTTATTGAGTTGATGAACATTTGGGTAGTCTCCCACTTTTTGGGCTCTTATGAATAATGCTGCTATGAACGTTTGTGTAGAAGTTTCTGTGTTGATGTATGTCATCATTTCTCTTGGGTATAAACCTAGGCCTAGAGTTGCTGGATTGTGCGGTAACTCTGTGTTTAATATTTTGAGGAACTACCAAACTGTTTTCCAAAGTGGCAGTACCTTATTACTTTGTCAGAAGTTCTTTTCATTATGTTTAATTTACACCAGCTTTATTTAGAGTTATTCAAATAGAAAGTAACAGTAGTATTGGCAAAACAACCAATGTACGTGTGGGTATTTGCTAGCATCCTCCTCCAGTTCTTCGTGTGTGTGTGTGTGTGTGTGTGTGTGTGTGTGTATGGTTTAAAAAAGTGATGTTCAGTACCTGTGTTAAAAACTGCATTTTTCAGGGCCCGTGGGTGGCTCAGTCGGTTAAGCATCTGCCTTCGGCTCAGGTCACAATCCCAGAGTTCCGGGATCAAGCCCCGAGTCGGGCTCCCTGCTCAGCTGGGAGTCTGCTTCTCCCTTTCCCTCTGCCCCTCCCCCTGCTCATGCTCTCTCTCTCTCTCTCCCTCACTCTCTGAAATAAATAAAATCTTTAAAAAAAAGTGTTTTAAATTACCAATCTTGATAATTAGTTCCATATTTAGCATTTAGGATTAAAAATGATGGTCTATAAGAATAGCATAAGGAAGAGAATCTCGTATGCTTGGATTAACTAACATTTGTATGTTTTAAGTACAGATTCAATTTTCAGATAATTAAGATTTTTGACATTATGTGGGAATTGATTTGTTGCCATATGTGGTGGGGTGGCTTCTTGGAGGTCCTCGGAATGGAGCTGGGAGGGGTTGAGCCTCTGGCACCCTGAGGCCTTTCAGGGCCTTCCAGGCTGTTGCTAGTCTTGACTATTGTGATGCTGAGTCTTTTTCCACTTTGAGCTTTGAATTGACTGTGCTATTATCTTGTTCTTGTTAGGACTTTCATTAGTTCAGGAATACAGTTCAGAAAGAGTAGATCTGGTAGTATTGTGGATTAAACAGGTTCCTAGAGAATGAAGCCATATAGCCTTTTTTCCCTTTATGATACCCATAATAAACTTTCTTGATGGTCTCAATATGTAAATATTACTGAAGCCAGAGAATTCCACCTAAAATTAAACTTTTATATAAAGTTCTCCCTGGTTGTTTAGAAGAATGTTCATGGAGCCCATGGAGTCTGTCCGTTTCTCCTGTTGGTACCTTTGTGTTCTCATGGATTTCTGTACATGCAAATCATGTTCTTAAATTCGTGCTTTGTGTTTCTGTTTGCTTTTAGACTGACAGGCCAACTGTTATAGAATATGATGATCATGAGTATATCTTTGAAGGATTTTCTATGTTTGCACATGCCCCCCTGACTAATGTAAGTATGTGCTAATTGGCTGGCTTTCTCCTTTTCCTGTACTCTCTTCCTTCCCGTCATTCTTTATTTCTAAAAGTCAATATAAATTTCTTCTCTTCTGACTTGTAAGTAACATTTACTTTGCATCCCTCTGCATGAGCTGCAGGAAGTCTGTGGCGGCCTATGTCAGGTGGGGGTGTGACGTCTGTGCTAATGAGTCACAGGTTTGGTCCACATTCAATGGTGTAAGTAAACATGTGTAAGAATAACATTTTGAGAGTGAAAGATGGAAAAAGAATGGTAAACTGTGGAATAATGTGTCAAAGCTATTTTGGGCTGGGTGTCCTTCAAAAGAAAGTTGGAAAGTTTTAAGGAGCAGCTATTATCTGGTGTCTAAGCAATAGGAAAAGAAAGAGAGCTGTGTTAGGGGCATCTGGAGCCTGCATTAACTTCCTGCCTTTTTCTGCTTGCGAATCCCAGGACTATGTCTTCTTTAAGAGATTTTGTCTGACATAGAGATCTGTGATATTTTTATACAGGTATTAAGGTTGCTTTGTTTAGTAAATTGGTTGAAATGGAAGTTCTGTTATCTGTGAGTCAAAATCTTGCTGTCTCAAAGCTGACAGTCTTGGGGATTGTCTTACTTATTCTGTATTCTAGTTGGACATAGAGTAGAATTTGTTGGCTGCTCACACTATAGCAGTATACTTTACCCAGTCCAGATGCTGTTGGAGAACTCACGAAATTATAGCTGTGGTATATCTACATCAAAATACAGTGTTCTTTAACCCTTTCTGAGTTGGTTATAAGACATTACACCCGCAGTGTAAAAAGTTATTTAAGTGCTGTTTACTCAGAACGTGAAATTCTGTTCCATTGGAGAGTAAAGAATAAAATTTTTGCCTGACCTTGTTCCTTTCTGTCGTTCTTTTCTTCTTTATAAGTAGACATGATTCTATAGTAGTGGTACTAATTTAAAACAAATTGTTTTCTTAGTGGAATTTTCCTCATTCCACAATATATTTTATCCTAGAGAATTTTCTTTGGAAGGTGATGACATTCTATATATAAAAATAAAATCATTCGATAATACATATTACCTCTACCTCCAGTGTGGACCGTAATATAGAAAAGAGCGTAATACTGGACTGTTCTTTTTTTGAGATATAATTGACATAAACCATCATATTAATTCCAGGTGTACCGTGTGATAATGAGTCAACATTTGTGCATAGTGCAAAATGATCACTACAGTAAGTCTAGTAACATCCAGCACCACACATAGCTACAGAATTTTATATTGGACCATTCTTAACAGTCTTTATGAAAAGGCACTAAGAGGTTTTGAATTTTGATGGTTTCTTCACTTTTTTTTTTTTTTTTAAATGTCTCATGCACGCAAACCCTTTGTTATACCAAACCTCATAGTCTCAGGGTGGAAAAGGCCATTGGAGGTCCTCTAGTCTAGCTCCTCCCACATAATGCATTTCTCTCTTTTTTTCCTCAGTCGGCTTGCAAATATAAATAATTTAGTTACCATGAAAATATTTAAAATTATCTCTTATTTCCTTGGAGGTAATGTAGGTAGATCTCATTTAACTTTTAGGATCACTTTAATCAAAGGAGGAAAGCAGTGTGGCTTCAGAGAGACCAGGGTTTAAACATTAGTGAATTCCACTTATTAGCTGTGTGATTTGACCTTTCACCTTAGCCTATGATTTGATCTTTATAATCCTTGATTTTCTCATCTGTAAGATAGAGGGATTGTAGCAATCTTACCGGTTTTTGTAAAAAATAAATGAGATGACACGTGAAAAGTGTCATAGTTTTTGGCATACATGTTGGCATTTCTTATTTTGGATAAGATGTCAGACAGACCTGGGTTTGTGTCTTCTAATTCTTTTTTTTTTTTTAACCAATTCTTAATATTTATGTGACCTTGGAGGAGTGATTCTTTGAGCTTTATTTAAAGCCTGTCAGCACAAGGTTTGGCACTGAGAGGCTGCTAATGCTCAATTAATTGCAGTTGTTACTGTTATAAAATCAAAGATAGAACTGAAAATTGCTGGCTTCAGCGTATATTTTATATAAATACTGAAATTCTTCAAATTTGAGAACTTCACTCTGTAATGAGAAGATAAGCCTCATCATTTATGTTAGAGATGTTGATAAAATAAATCGAGTTTTAAGCTGAATGTTGTACAGTTCATAGGGATTAGATCCATCAAAGGCCTCTTGAATTTGAAATAGCCTCCCAGAAAAAGAATTATTAAATCGCTTTACCGATCTGATTCATTTTCTTTCTAGAGAGAGCATATCAGTAAGAAGGGCATGCAAATGATGGTAATGTTAAAATCTCAACCAATCTAGTTCTGACAAGTTTTCTTAAGATCTTCTTCAATTGAAGTGGATTGAAAGCCTTGTTGGCTAAGTATAGAGCATTTGGGAGCATTTTATCCTTTTATATAGCACATTTGCTACTATTTAGAATACCTGATGTTATTAAGGACTTTGACAACATAACTAAAGTTGTAAAGATACATGTATTAGATGCATAATGTCCTATCCTGTCCTCAAAAGCACAAGAAAACCCCTGCTTTTAGATGGCTTTCCATTTCCAGTGGCCTCAGTGGATTTAGCCATTTAGCACCTGGAAGTAATAGAGTTAGAACGTAGAAGTTTGGGAGGGTTTTTTGTTTCTTTACAGTAGGATGAAATAAGGGTTAATAAGAGTTAATGTCAGTCTTCAAACAAGTTTTAAGAAATGGTAGGCATTTATATTATTTGATTGACCATTGGCCCTTCAATAAATTGAGCTTGCCATATGTAGAGAAAATGACAAGTTCTCTTTGAGTCTTAGAGAGAGATAAAAGTGAATAGAAAAGAAGATCTTGCTTTCCCAGATTTGTGTATCTCAGAAGGGCTCTGGTGGTATGAATGTGAGCCCAAAAGAAAATAAACTATATGTAAGAGAAGAGCTCAAAGAAAGAATCCCAAAAAGGGATTTTAGTTGAAATATTATGGGGAAAGGACTGTTCTTGCATAAATCATCTAGCAGAGTTGCTTTTGTGCGTCGTAGAAGGAATAACTTTTGCTCTTTCTTTGCCTGCCTCTTGACTTCCCAAGGGCTCTGGTTCTTTTTTTTTCTGGTTGCTCTCTTCTGAGTAATACAGTCTCACCCACAGGTTTTCCTTCTGTGCATCTTCTGATCCCCACTAAATTGATATTTATAGCTATGACATGGTTCCGTGCTCCACGCTCACATTTCATATTGCCTTTTGGACATACCCACCTTGATACCACTTCAAGTCCCTCACCCTCAACCTATGCAAGACTGAACTTATCCTCTTCCTCGCATACTGAATTTGAGGTACTTGGGGGACACCCTATGAATTTCTTTGTATTAATGCCATTGTAATTTATCTTGTCATTAGGCCAGAAATCTAGAAATTTTTCTCTCTTCTTTCTTGTCTTTCCCTTCCATATCAGAATGGTCATTGTATATTTCATTAACATTTCCCATGTTTAAAATTTGCCCCCTTGCTTCCAGTCTTCTCTTCATTTGGCTCCTGGGCTATTTCATCAGACTCTAGTCTGGTCTTCTGGTCTCTCGCCTTGCTCTACTATAAACCGTTCCCACGCTGTTTACATAACAGCCCATTCAAAATGTAAACTATGATAGTCTCTCACTTAAAGTACTTTCGTGACTTTGCATTGCCGTAAGGACAAGCCCTTAATCCTTACCGTGGTCTATATGGTCTGCATCACATAGTTCATACTTTTCCTGTCTAGAATCTCCTTGCTTCTCTCTCTCCATGTATTTCATTCCTGAACAGCTAAAAGATTTGGTCTTCCCTCAGCTCCCTATTCTCTGTCTTGCTAGAAACTAAACACATATTTTTTCCCAACTTAATTCTGGAAAATTTCTCCCCATCTTTGAAGACTCAACTCAAATGTTACCTTCTCTTTGGTTCTTTTGTACTTTATACTTTGTTGTTTGCTTAATTTGTTTTAATTGCACTTACTACATTATATACATTATATTTTATTTATACTTGCTTACATGCCTGTCTTCCTCTTTAGATCCTTACCTTTTAAAAAAGATAAGAGGGGCGTCTGGGTGGCTCAGTCGTTAAGCGTCTGCCTTCGGCTCAGGTCATGATCCCAGAGTCCTGGGATCGAGCCCTGCATCTGGCTCCCTGCTTAGCAGGAAGCCTGCTTCTCCCTCTCCCGCCCACCCTGCTTGTGTTCCCTCTCTTGCTGTGTCTCTCTGTGTCAAATAAATAAATAAAATCTTTAAAAATAAAATAAAAAAGGTAGAGGCTGTGGCTTATTTTAGAGTAACTACGGACCTAACACAGGTTGTTAGCAAAGGATGGGTATTTAAAAGTATGAATAATACACAAATTTGGAATTCTCAAATATTTTTAAATGATTATAGGAATAAAGAAGTTAAAAATAATCGTGGCCTTAGTATATCACATCACTTCGTTTAGAACTCATTACTAAAAGGTTGAAAATGGATTTCTTATTAAAGTTAATTACAAATTTCACTCAAATTAGCCACTATTCCTTAAAAAAAAAAAGCACCAAAAAACTGAACTTCATTTCTGAGAAAAAGATTTCCAGTAGATGGCATTATAAGACTATTTTTGGTTTTCTTGCCCTTTTTTTTTTTGCTGGTAGAATTAAAGTTTGTTTCTTTCTGATTGCTGTGATTTGTAAAAATGATTACATCTGTGTAAAATCATCTTATGGACAGATTGAATGGCCAGAAAAGCCTACTTAACACATCTCTAGGCTATTCTTTTCCCTAGCTCGTCCGCTAAGCCACTTCAGTGACCTCACACTTTCCCTCTCATTCCTTCCTTCATTGAAAAATACACTTATGGAAAACCTATTATGTGTAGACACTAGGCTAGTAGTCTGATGACCAAACAAGATAGATGTGGATTTATTTCATCTGGGCCTTCCTTCATTTCCACACAGACCCTGAGTGTCAGAACAGGTAATGAGAGGTGTGTATACTCTAGTGGCTCAGAGTTGTGGTCTAGAGCAAGATTTTCTTACTACCGGCTGCCTTAGGCAAGGTACCTGATGCCTCTGCCTTAGTTTCCTCCACTATACAGTGGGGATAGTAATTGTGCCTATCTTATGGGTGTGGTTTTGTGAGTGACCATACGTGAAGCAGCACAACAGTGCCTGGCTCGGTGTTAGCTGTTATTCCTGTTATTACCGTGGTTGCTCTTGCTCCGGAGCTGGATGGGCGGCCTGAACTGTGCACTTTAGTGACTTCCGAAGCTATAACTGATGGGTTGGCATCCTGCTATCACTAATATAGTTGAAGAGCTAAAGATTCTGAAAGATTTAAAAAACCTGAGAAAAAGAAATGTTTAATTGTGATTTTATCAGTACTTCCGAGGTGATATGTTTGGTTTTAGTGGGTTCTCATGTTTGTGTTGCTGCTGCTAATGCAGTTAATTAAGCACCAGCATTATGCAGGTTTCCTGTAGAGGCCGGGCTAGCTGGGTTCTTGCCGTTAAAATCCTGCAGTTGTGGTCAAAGCTTTGTGTACAGTACTGTTAGCAGCTTGGGTTCAGGTGAAACCTCATTTGGTTCATGGCAAATACACATGCACTGGAAGCCTGCAGGAGGGTACTGCAGAACTCAACCTCTCATTCTTGTTATTGCAGATTCCACTGTGTAAAGTAATCAGGTTCAACATAGACTACACAATTCATTTCATTGAGGAGATGATGCCTGAGGTAAGAGGAAAGATTATTTAATAGACCGATGTAGTTTGCTCTTTTGCTTATTTCACACTTAAATCTTTAAACCGTTAAACTTGGCCAGCTCTGGCTATTTGCCATAGGAATGCCCCCAAAGAATGGTGTTTGCTGTTGAAAGGGTCACTAAGCTGTAGCTCTAGGAGCAAGGTTAAAATCTGGGTCATTTTTCAACTTCTCTTGACCTATTTTTGAACTTATTTCTCCTCGTCTTGCATCTGCTAATAGTAACATTACATCTATTTCCAGTTTGTTTTGGATGGGGGGCAGATTCTGGTTACTGGTCGTTATCAGAGGGGAAATTAGAACAGTGAAACCGAATCTGATAACTGTTGGAATAATCTTATTCATTATCTCCAATGACAAGATCAATGCTTGGTTCATTTTTCTTCCCATATATTTACATATTTTTCCTAATTGTTTTTCATTGCGGATGCTCAGCGGCAGATTTATCTAAATATATGCAAGAGGTTTAAAATTCCAAAGCAAGATTAATGTGAATCTCAGAATGATTCATTGCCTGATCTTGAATTTAGTGGTGTCAACAAATCACACTAAGAAATAACAACTAGACAGCAAACAAGCTTGTGCACTTAACATTTGTTGAGTCGGGGTCGATTTCCTGAGCCCCTGGCTCTTCTAGCAAACCTTGTTTAACAGTGAAGCTCTGTCATGGGCAGTGGAGCACTGAGGGGGATTGATGAGCATGACACACATACTTAGTTTGCACCTGTTTCATTCTGAGCAAGTCCTGGTAATTCTACCTGTCTTTCAAAAAGAATTAAAGAGAAAGGGCCGCCCCTTCATTCCCCAGCTTAGAAGGGCTTTTTTGCTTCCTTTTGATTTTTAAGGTCATAAGCCTTCATTGGCTATTGTAAAAGTTGATGACTTCTGGCGTGATCTCACACAGGGTGATTGATGAACCCTGAGCAAGACAAGTAGGAGGAAGAATTATGAGACAAGTCTCACTTGTAAATATATCATCTGTTAAGCTTGTTTACAGGAGAAATTTTGGTACAAAGTTTTGTAGTTTTTCTTAGCCCTCTATTTGCCTTCATTAAGAATTTGAACTTTTTTGGCACAAAAGACCTCTTTTTATGGTAACTGTAATGGTGATTCTGGGGGTATGCGAAGGGTGGGGGTTAGCAGGGGTGGGGTGGGGGGACAAACCTATTAGAGCCCACCCACAGTGTGTGTGTGTGTGTGTGTGTGTGTGTGTGTGTGTAGTTTGAATTAACAAAGTCCCCAGGAAATTCTGATTCTGAGATTTAATTGGCTAGAAAAATATAATGGGATTTTATTTTTTAAATTTCACATCATTTTATTTGTATGTTTGCAAGAGCTGAGTTTACATTTTTGTAGGAATCCTAACGGCATTATTGCCTACTTCATTTATGTCTAAAGCCAATGAAGTGTTGTAGGACAGTGGCCAAGCATTTTAGGAAATTACATGGTTTTAGTATAGTTTTAATACACACTTTTAAAGACACTTGACTAAAACAAGTGAAACTTTCAGTCAGTATACATTTACAGTATTATAGTAATTTGATTTTGGTTTATTTTTCAGAATTTTTGTGTGAAAGGACTTGAACTGTTTTCATTATTCCTGTTCAGAGATATTTTGGAATTGTATGACTGGAATCTTAAAGGTAAATAATAAGATTTAAAGAGAAGTGTAATGCTTGTAGAAGAATGTTGTAGTATATATATAAAAACTTCTAACAATGGGGAGACAGTTGAAATTCCCTTTATTTTTTAAATACTCAAGGAAAAGTATGTTATTCATAGGAACACTTAGTATCATTTGACGTGAATAAGACGTTATGGGTCTTATTTTAAATTTTGATAAAATTTGACAGTGTTCATTACCTAAGATTACCATTATCCATTACCTAACTGATACCTAAGAAGATGGTATCAGTTACTATGAGTAACTACCTTGATTTATGTACGTTAGGGAAAATCTCAGTAGTTAATATTTTAAATCTGTTGAACTTTACTGTAATAAACTTCTTCCAAGATGACAGTATATTAAAATTTCAGGGGCGCCTGGGTGGCTCAGTCGTTAAGCATCTGCCTTCGGCTCAGGTCATGATCCAAGGGTCCTGGGATAGGGTCCTGTGTCGGGCTCCCTGCTCAGCGGGGAGCCTGCTTCTCCCTCTCCCACTCCCCCTGCTTGTGTTCCCTCTCTTGCTGTGTCGCTCTCTGTCAAATAAATAAATAGAATCTTAAAAAAGAAAACAAAAAACAACTTCAGTTAGCCTTCAAAACACACATATACACTTTGAGTTATATCAGTTCAAAACTTGGTTCTTAGATAATTGTTCGTTCCTTTGGAAGTGTTAGTATTCCAGCAGACATTGACTTATTTATTTTTAAAACAGTGTATTGATGAATGGCTTTTCAAACCAAGTTTTTAATAGTATTTGTTTCTTTTTCCCCCAGTGATATTGATTAAAATAGAAAAGGATTAAAACATAAGCATATTGTATCATGCAGTAGTTCAACTATAACAAAAATCTTTATATTTTTGGACTTCTAGAAATAGTTTTACCGCATATGTCATATACGTGGTATATCCTTGGGGCCTTTATTCTCCTCTGACTTTGGGTAGTCCCCTCACTGCAGTCTTCATTGGATGTTTGTGGCAGTTATCGCATGATTGATTGAACTGTTGGGGAGAAGAAGGGGTGGTGTTTTTTATGTCTCTACTTCTCCAGTGGTGTTTCTTTGTGGTTATCATAAATCTTAGGAATTAAGCCACAGTGTTTGTTTTCTAAGGCTGTTTTATTTATTTTTTCTTTCCTTTTCACTTGTTTGCTTTAGGCCCTTTGTTTGAAGACAGTCCTCCCTGCTGCCCAAGATTTCATTTCATGCCACGTTTTGTGAGATTTCTTCCAGGTAAATCTTTTGGCTTGTCAGTGACCCGGTGAGATGGTACATCTGAAAATAAGCCTGCCATTCTCTTTTTAATCTGTAGAGACAGCTTCCTACCTCAGACACTGTTAATTATCTAATTCTCAGGTCAGGGATGAAATGTGAAATTATACACTCTGATTTGTATTCCTGTGTAATTTATGGTAGCCCCAAATTAGATGAGCAACAGGACAAGTGATTTATAAATTTTGAAAATCTACTTGATAAAATATCATGCAAGTGTTCAAAGTAACATGGAAAAATGTCACTCTAAAAAATGCATATAATTAATTGGAAAATAATTAGTATAAAATTTTATATGTAGTATAATTATAATTATGCTAAAGATTACTGCAATAATAGGTATATTAATGTAGTATTATTGGTGGTTTTTTCCTTTTTTTTGACACATTCACTTTACAGTGAAAAGAATGTTATTTTCTCACTAAAATATATAAGTAAATATATTATTTTTATTTTTTTAAAGCAGTATTTTAAGTTTTAAAATTTTTTTCAAGAGTCTAGCTGTGAAATATGGCGTTATATTGGTTTTTAAAAATGACTGGATTTTATGAAATCTTTGGATGCCTTTTTGTTTGTAAAATCTTCACCTAAATGAATTATCCCTAGAATCTCACTCTGGCATCTCAGTTTCTGGTGACATTCCTCCAACCTCTCATGCCCTAGTCCCTTTGCTTCTACCTGAATCTTCCCTTTTCTCTCTGGGTATAGCTGCCTTTCTTTGCTTTCTCACTTAAGTCTTATGCTCTGACGTCTGTCTCTCAGCTCTGGCGACCTCAGCCCTTGTGCCAACCACCACCTTCCACTGAAATGTCAGTTCGGCCTTTTGGTTCTCAGTGATACTGGGGAAAAAAAAACAATTTGCTGCAATAAATCTGTGGTCCACAGTTTCAGCTAGGGAGCTTTTCAGAATGTAAAATGTAATGTATTGCTCACATAGTCCGCAATTTCAGGAAATCAACCCTATGTTCCTGCTCTCCGCATGCCTCTTGTCTTCCTGGGGGCTGGAGACCTTACCTCCCTTATGCCTCAGACCCCTGGTTTGAGCATGTCAGACCTTGGTCCATTCACAGCCTGGCTTTGCTTGGGTGCCCCACTCCCTCCAACCCTACCCTGCCACAGCTGCTGTTGCCAAAGCAAGCCTCCCAAAGGCCACATCCAGTGGACACACTGCAGTTTTGGTCTCTTCCCTGAGGTGGTACCTGGGCTCTTGACCCTGTCTTCTGTGTACTGAGCTCTCCTTGCTTTCCTCCTGGCTCTCTGATTTGTCTTTTGTGCCTTCTGTGTCTTGTCTACTTCTAGTTTAGATTTGCCTCAAGATTTTGTCCTTGATACCCTTCCCTCAGTTCAGACACTCAGTCACTGGGGCTTATTTTTATTTTAGTATAAGAGTTACTCATATTTTTGGTATTATTGCTAATGCTTATTTCATTTGGAAAATGCATTCAAAAGCTTTTCTCCTTTGTACAACTGGTTTTATTTTATTGGGAAGTCTATTCATGTGAATGCATCTTTGATTTTATAATGGAGCTTTAGCAGCAGACTTATTAGAAGATGGTGCTAGAGTGAGCTTGTTGAAAGCCTTTCCTTTATCTGTCTGCCTCTAGGCATTTTATGACCAGGCAAATCTCTAAGAGAAAGTGGACAGTTTTAAAATCATCTTAAAGAAAAATCTTATGTCAGAGATTTACTTCGTGGGATTTGAACTCTTGCAAAATGTTTCTTATAACTATTGTAGGGATAACATTTAGGTTGTCATAAAGAAAGAGGCGTATTGATTTATTTTTAAGCAGGATTTACCTTTTCATTAGACTTCCCTTTGAAAATACATATATTAAAACACCCTGAAAGATACAGAAGAATATCTGATGTATAAAATGCATTTTGGTATTAGGTGACAAATTATGATTGATTTGTTTTTTACAGTATGACTTCATTAAAATCTTTTAGAAAATGGTGAATTAAAAAGAAAAACATTTTAGTATATATTTTCATTTTTTTCTGTACATAGACCGTTTCTACCTAGTTGTCATCATACTAATGTATGATATGCATCCTAGTTTTTACTAATTCATTGAGCAGATGGATAATTTTAAGGAACATGGTACGTAGTGCCAAATTTCTTATCAAAAGAATAGCATCAATTTATGCTGCCATGAAGAATGCATTCTTAGTCTTCACATTTGGGACCCTTCCTCTTCCCTTTCTTCACTTCTTCCTCCTTCCTTCCTTCCTGTAACTCCATGAGGCTAAGGAGTAAACAGTGTCTGTCTTGTATCAGTGCTAACATAGTACTTGGCACATAGCAGGGACTCAATAAATACTTGTTTACTAACCTTATTTAACTGATCACAGTAGTGCCTTAGTTAATGATTCATATATTTTGTTACTAATATTTTGTTACTAATGAGAGTGAATGAACTTTCAAACATTCTTTGGTATTATCTCTTATTTTTAAAAAGTAAACCTTTGAAGTATAACACAAACTGTGCACGTATCATAAATACAAGACTCAGTGAATTTTTACAAAGTGAATATGATTGTGTACTCAGCACTGCGATCAAGATTACCAGCATTCAAGACCCCCTTTGCAGTCACCTCCCAGCTTCTCAAGGGTAGCCTCTATTCTGACTTGAAAACACCATGTTAATTTTACTTGTTTAATTATAAAAACTAAAATTGTGTGTTCTTTTTGTTTTTGTCTTCTTTTGTATTATGTGTTTTTGAGACACCTGTTTCAGTTAACTGTAGTTGGTTCATCCTCATTACTACATAGTATTATATGTATTTAACCTATCTGTGATTAATGGACATTTGGGTATTACCTGTTTTTGGCTCTTTCAAACAGCATACATATGTTCACCATTACCCTTGTACATGCCTTTTGGGGAGCATATATTGATGCTTTCCCATTGTGGATATTCACCTAGTAGTGGAAATTCTAGTTGTGTTTATATTAAGCTTTGTAGATAGTTTCCAACAGTTTCCCAAAATGATTCTTTCATTTTCCCTGCCCACTAGCAGTGTATGGGACAGTTCAGGTTATACCATGTTCTCACCAAACACTTGGCATTTTCTTTCTTTTTCAAGTTAGCCATTTTGATGAGTGTTCAGAGGTATCATAGTACAATTTTAATTTTCACTTCCCTAATGACTTATGAAATAGAGCATCATTTCATATATTAATTGACTATTTGGATATTGTCTTTTGAAGTGCCTGTTTGAGTCTTTAGCATATTTTTCTATTGGGTGATGTATGTCTTTTTCTCATTTATTTGTTAGGTATTTTTATATATACACCATATATGAGACTTTTGTCAGATGTATAGGTTGCCAGTACCTTCTCTGTGGATTGCTTTTTCACCATCTTAATGGTGATTTTTGATGGACAGAAATTCCTAATTTTAATATAGTCCAATTTACATATTCTTTTATGCTTATCTTGTTTATGAAATCTTTGCTATCCTAAGGTCATCAAGATACTCTCCCTATATTTTCTAGAAATTTAGATCTCTAATCTGTCTCAAAATTTGTTTTTCAGTTGGTATGAGATATGAGTCAAGATTCCTTATTTTTATTTCATTTTATTTTTTTTAAGATCCTTAATTTCAGTATGGATATCCAGTTGATCCTACACCATTTATTGGAAAGATCATTCATTCTTCACAGAATTGAAGTGTTACTTTTGTCCTTTATTGGCTCAATTTGTGTGTGTGTGGGTGTGGGTGTGGGTGTATGTGTGTGTACACAAACGATACTAAAGTGTATAAAGTAAAAAAGTAAATACCCCCTTCTAAACATGTGAAAATGACTAGATGCTATATATGGTTTGGTTTGTATTCATTTTACCCTATATAGGGAAATTTATGCTTTTTTCTTTAAGTGGGGATAACACTAAATATGTTATACAACTTGCCTTTTTTACTCAACTGTTTCAGATGTCCTCTGTAAAAATACATTGCCTGATTCTTTAAAACCTTCATAGCATTCCATTGTATGAGTGGACATTAATTATTATGACAGTTCCTCTAGTGACAAATATTTTGGAGGTCTCTATTTTTTTTCCCATTATGTATAAATACTTTGACAGTAGTCTTATGCATCTCCTATAAGGTAGAATTCTAGAAGTAAAATTATTTGTTAAGACAGTATTTGTAAAATGTTGCCCATTGTTCTCTAGAAAGGACATGATATGTAGCTCTAACCAGCATTTTTAGCAGTACCCTTTTTTGGTATATCTGCCAACACTGGATATCAAGACTTCTACAGTTGGGTCCATCTGAGAAGCACAACGTAACCTCATGGTTATTATTTACATCTTACTTGAACTCGTATGAGAATGAGCAGCTTTCATATATTTCAGGTATTTCATGATCCTCTCATGCTCATTTGCTTTTCATCTATATGAATTTATTATATCTAATTGAAGTTTTATCAGTTATTACCATTTTTCTTCAGTATCCTAGTTTACCCAGTTTTGAAGATAACTGTCTCATTTGCTCCATATGAATTTATCCAAAATTAAGCTTATAGTTTAAACCAAGGTTTATTTAATTCAGGCCAGTTGACCAGGAGTCAAATCACAGAGCAACTGGATTATTGAGATTTTAAGGATTTTCTCAAATTTTTGTTTCCTTCCAATACCCGCCTCTACCTTGGGTAGCCAAACCATTAATAAGAGCTCTGGTAGAATTAGTTTAAGGTTTTATTCTTGCTGGAGCTGGGGCTGGAGCTAGGGTAGGGCATAATTCAAGATAGGAAGGCTGCTCTTCTGGGAAAGGCTGTTCAGTGCTTATATCATCACTGTTAGTAAAGCTTCAGAATTCCTTAATCAGTTTGCGAATCGGTTACTGTGCAAATGGATTTCTGGAAATTGCCCCATTCTGGAGAAATAGTTTGCAGGTATGGCTGAGAGAGAACCAGAGGCTGGGAGACTCTCTCAAAATTCCCAGGGAACCAAGTGTAGTTTAAAAAAACATCAATTGATACAGCATCTTTTTCTATTTGGAAAGTAACTTTTTTGGAGGGAAGTTTAGAAAATATCTGTTAATACAAATTTTCAAAAGTTAAGATTATGTAAAGACATGTTAACAGGAATATACAGGAGACACGATAATGCAGTTATACAGTTATTCTCAGTGTAGGCAAAGAGGAAGGTATTTTTATAGTTCTTAAAATAACTATTACACTGTTGAGAAATACTTGTTTAACCAGCCATATTCTTACCACAAATTCCCTAACAAATTGCCCCCCCACCATATAAATAAGCAATATAAACTGAGAGAATTGGGTCTCTAAGAAACAGTTTATAAAGTCTGTCAGTTCATTAATGACTGTCCAGATTCATTCCCTGAAACACAAACTCCAGTTCTTCCCGAATAATGAGCCGTTGTCACAGTTCCAGTCCCAGTGCTGGCAGAATTCCTGCTAACCTTAGCTTACCCACTCTAATTTCTCATTTATATCATGTCCTATTTAACTCAGCCAATGAGATAAAAATTACTTCCTAGCCCTGAGTGACATAGTTCCATAAATCCCCAACATAAACATGTAGCAAAGCAGATAAACCAGAAGAGCCAATTCATTAACATTAGTAAATTCATGGCAGTCTGTGAGCAAGTGGCTATGTTATTTATCTGCTTCAGAAAGTCATTCCCACAGATATTTATGGAGTGTCTTTTTTACCAGGCTGGGTGTGAGGGATGCAGCCCTTGCCCCATGGGCTCTGACAGGACTCTAGTCTTGTCTTCCTTTTTTAATATTTCCATAAGGATTGTGCCCCAGTACCGAACCTGGAGCAGTGCCTTGATCCCCCTCCTCGGTAAACCTTTCATTTCAGGTTGTCTGTCCTGGGTTTCTGCTTTGTCACAGTGGTAAATATCTGTCTCTCTAGGTTGTAGTTGCCATTTAAAATACTTAGCAGGTTTAAACATGGATTTATAATTTCTCCTTCAGCATTACTGACTTTGCACCTGATGTGTGTATGCTTTTAAATGTTTCTGGTTTCTGTGCTGTGGTAAAGCTCTACTTTCTCATTAGCAGCTTTGCACCCAAAGGTAAAAGCATTCTTAAAAGCATTTGGTGGCCTTTTCTTTTTTTCTTTTTTTAAAGATTTTATTTATTTATTTGAGAGAGAGAGAGTGCGTGTGCACGAGTGGGGGGGGGAGATGGACAAGCAGACTTCCTGCTGAGTGAAAAGACGGAAGCGGCATTCGATCCCAGCACCCTGAGATCATGACCTGAGCCGAAATCAGATGCTTAACCGACGAGCCACCCAGGCACCCCATGGCCCTTTTTCTTTATCTTGCAGGTATTCTTCTCCTAAAACGGGCCCTGTCCTTGGTTTGTAGGCCCAAGAATTCCTCTCTTCCAATAGCTTTTTTAGTTTTTTAGTCTTTTCACTTTAAATTCATAGAACTTTATTTCACTTCTATTTGCAGTGCCGTGAAGTCAGCCCTCTGTAACTGCTGGTGGGGAGATTTTAGTGCTATTCTGTATACCTGGCGTTGCATATATTTGCTCCTTCTACCACATACCACCTTCCCCAAATAAAATCTGAGCCTTTTTTTCTAATCCTTATAACAAAACAACCTCTCTTCTTCTTATGGCATGCTGGGCTTCTGATGGATCCTTGTAGGCCCCCAGTGCTCTTTAGTGATACTACCAAATAATAGAGATTATGAGCCAAATACTATTTTATTTTACTCTTGGTTCCTAATGAATCTAGTCAGTGTGCTAGTTCTTCTCAAAGCTCCCTAGGGTTCCTTTTTCTCTCTGCTGTTCTCTATGTATACACATGCAGTGTAAATCATCGTATTCTGGCGTTAGTGTTCTCTTTTCCATCTGTTTGCCTCAGACTACCTAGAAGTAGAGACTACTGTGGGCTCAGACAAGGCATCGTGATAGGCATTATGGCTTTGCTGGGCTCCTTAGCAAAGAGGGGAGCATCAATGACTGAGGAAAACGTGTTATATGCAGGGAGATTGAAATGTCTTTTGAGACAGACTCTTGAGAAATATGCCCTTTACAATGGAAGTTTCTTAATCAAAGGTGACTCTTGGGTTTAAAGCAGATGTTTTGTAATGAGGCATAAAAAATTTCACTGCTGTGAGCAGTAATCTGAATCAGTAGGTATAACATGTCCTCATGTGGGTTGATTGTATTTTAGTCACTTCTTGGACCTTTTTTTTTTTTTTTTTTTTTTTGGAGACTCAATGTCTTTGATTAAGAGAACTCTGTTTTCAGAATGTCATCTACAAAGATTCCTCCAGGAACAGTGTTGATTAATCTTTATTAGCCTACATGCTTCTTGAGGGCCTAGAGCTTGTGTTTTTGTTTGTTTTTTCCATGGCTGCGACACGGGACCACTCATAGTGCCTGGCACATAATGCTAATAAACCTGCTCATCAGAAAATAAAATCCAGAGCTCTTCCTGTGCTCTGTAGAAGCTTTGCAAGATCCAGCCTCCCTGCCACCTCTTTCACACTGTCTTCCTTCTCTCATTGCATCCACGTTGCCTTTTTGCAGTTGCTGGAACACATCAATCCCACTTTACTATAGGCCTTCTGCTGTTTTTTCTATCTGAGACACTCTTCTCCCAGATTGCTACATAATGGGCTCTTTTGCTTCTTTCTACTTTGCTCACATGGCACCTCTTCATGGATTCCTTCCCTGACCACCACTTTAAATACAGCTGCAGTCCTTCACCCGTTTTGAACCTTTATAGAAGAGTCTTTATCTTAACCTGATTTATTTTGTGGTGGTTTTTTACTGTGTCTTTCCCTTCTCTGTTTTGGTTGTTTAGATCACCACTGTATTTCTAGGGTCTGGAAGAGTGCCTGCTGCATAATAGGTGCTCAGTAAATATTTGTTGAATATAAACAAGTATTTAATAAATGCATGCTTACATATATGGTAACTCTATAGAGCAGTGCTGTCTGGTTCCATAACAACGTCTGAGATTAAAAAAAACAACAACAAAGATCAAAAAGAAATTTTGGTCTTTACTCTCTTCTTTCTCATGTGTGTAGTCCTGTCCAGGTTCTTACCCCCGGCAGCTCATGTTAAAGATCTCTCGGGCGCCTGGGTGGCTCAGTCGGTTAAGCGTCTGCCTTTGGTTCGGGTCCTGATCCCAGGGTCCTGGGATCGAGTCCTGCATTGGGCTCTTTATTCAGCGGGGAGTCTGCGTCTCCCTCTGCCTGCCACTCCCCCTGCTTCTGCTCACTCACACTCTCTCTCTCTCTGATAAATAAATAAATCTTTAAAAAAAAGATCTCCCATCCTCTTTTTCTAGTCCCTCAGATTCCTTGGGCGCCATGAACCCCTCTAGTGCAAATAGCACACTCTCGTTTGTGCCCTCCCAGGCCCACCATCTTGGTGCCTTGTCTCTCCATGAAGTGTTTGGCCCTACACTGGTGTTCCTAGCACACCTCGTGACCTGGGGGCGGTGGTCACTGTCCTCCACACCTTCAGAGCTCTTGTCCTTTCTTGGGTTGGGATTAGGCAAAGAAAAGGCACATATTGATCAAGAAATTAAGCCCAAAAAGAAGGCAGAAGAAGCCTGTGAACCCAAAATTAATGCCCACATTATATGAATGTCTTTGGTTCATCAAGTACCAGATTAATTGGCTCTTTCCAAGGTATTTTAACTATGTCCTTTGTTGTTTTTATCCTCTGTACTTGGTAATACATGCTTCTGTAAGCCTCAGAATACTTGGTATTTTTTCCATGTACTAACTCCGTAATGATCTTCATGATATTAGTACAGCCTTTTTAGCGCTATTCATCACGGCAGGTGCAGCACATTAGCACCAAAAAATTAGAACATAATGCAACAATAGCTTATTGGAAACATCCATAAATATCTCATAAAAGCTTAGAATTTCCTTAAGACAGTAACATCACTTCTAAAGAGCTTTCATCTGTTACCTTAGAAAGAATCATAAAATATTTAAGACATAACATAGTTCTGTATATTATAAACCATGGCTTTTTATGCTAGGTGGTTTTAAATTTATTTAGGTAGGCACTTTTTTTTTATTTTCAGACCTCACAAATGGAGCCTTTTATCATTTATAATGTTGTTGTTGCCATTTTAGTAAATGAGGTGGTTTGTGAGCACTGTTCATCAATGAAACAAATGGTTTTTGTATTATTTGGCACCTGGATAAACAATGTAAATTCTAAATTACTTTTTTATAAATGTTCTTTTTTCCCCTCACTGTCTTGTTTTTCCTTATTCGGCTGATGATTGACTATTGAGTAGCTTTATTTTTCCCTCTTTCCACTCCCACCCAAGATGGAGGAAAGGAAGTGCTGTCCATGCACCAAATTCTCCTTTACTTATTACGGTGTAGCAAAGCCCTGGTTCCCGAAGAGGAGATTGCCAATATGCTTCAGTGGGAAGAACTTGAGTGGCAGAAATACGCAGAAGAATGCAAAGGCATGATTGTCACCAACCCTGGAACGGTATGTTCTGGTGCTTACATGTTCTGAGACTGAACCACCTTCTTTCCGGTTTGAATGTTCAAAAAACCAGTAACGGAACATTTAAAAGTTTGAAGTATTCATTCTTGTCCTTTGAGTAATTTTTCCTTTTAAATATTTAGCAAATAAAAAAATACTACGATGTAGTCATATTTAGTAGTAAGTTTATCTGATTAGTTTTTAGATATGTTCGGATCTGATTTTTTTTTTTCTGAGTATAAAAGTAATATATCATCATTATAAAAAGTTAAGAAAATAAAGAAACAGCCCAAAGAAGACAATAAAGTTATCCATAATTCCATTTACTGGAGATGTTACTATTCACTTTTCTAGTCTCCTTAGAGACTTTCATATTGTTTTAAAACAAAATTGGTATCATACAGTTCAGTATTCATATTTAGACCTTTTTCTTCTCATCCTCTTCCAGAAACAACAATCACAAAATTATTTTTCCGTAGTCTTAAATTTCTTTACAAGTGTAATTAAAAGGCTCCTAAGTTACTTAATTAACCCCCTATTAGTGGACACCTAGGTTGCTTTCAGATTTTTGCTGTCACCAATATTGCTGTATTGAATTTGTATATGTGTATATAAACACATATATACATAAACATGTATGTATCTTTGAATGTGTGTCCATTTAATTTTTTAGGAAGAAGTCCTGTAAGTGAAGTTAATAGGCTGAAGATACGCACATTTTTAAGGCCTTGGATACGTGTAAATTGCCTTCTAGAAGGGTTGTAAAATTTGCACGTTGACCGAGAGTATATGAGCAGGCCCTATCTTTGTATTGGTTATACTGTACTAGTCTAACAAAAAAACTGATAGGGAAAAAAATTATATAGTTCAGTTTTGTATTTATTTTGGTTTCTAAGAAAAATTGATATTTTAAATGTTTATTGGCCTTTCATGTTTTCTTTTGATAATGGCCTATTAATACCCCTTTTCTAATTTTCTTTTGTGATATTTGTCCTTTTTCATTGATCCTTTGCCATACTTATTACAAATATTTCCCATTTCTTTGTTTTTTAAGTGTTTTGTATTAAAATTAGCTTCCAGTATTAATTTTTGAAGTAAAAATATAAAAAATAAAGAGTAGAGAATTGAAAGTCAAGTAGGTTTCTCTTATAAAGAAAATGCTGTTTTATATACTTATATGAATTACAATTTTTTCTCTGAAGTATGTTATTGTTTCATAAAATAGTTATATATTGGCATCTTATCAGGATAAAGTTTTCCAGAAATGGAGAATTAAAATATTTTTATGTAAAGAAACACAATAATCTATTTAAACAAAGCTGTTGTTTTTAAAAGGCTGCCAAATTGTTTAATAGCCTTGATTCATAAAAATAAAAACTCTGGATCAACTTTTTGTAGCATGACAGTAACATCTGCACAAACAAAATGTTACTATTTGCAAAGCAAACATTCCAGCTAATACTGATTATTTCAAACAAGTCTAGAAAGTGAAAGTGTTTAATAAAAACATGTTTAAACATAAAACTTGTTTAAAACTTAAAATCATACAATTTTTGCTATTACATTGTTAAACCATACAACTAATTGTTAAAGTAACTCTAAAAGAAATATACAGGTCCTGGCATTATGACCGTATAACTCTGAATTTTATTTTTCTTCTTTAAACAGTTGCATAAATTTACATTTCTTTTGCCAGTTTTATAGCAGGGTCAGAAGATAGGTGGGAGTGAGGGTGGTGGGAGACACACTTTTTCATCTTGGTGGAGTCTGCTTGAAGAGTACTGCGGTCTACAGTGCACACTTTGGGAATACTTTCACCCTGGTGCTTCTTTCCATACCTTGGTTAACATTTCCTGAAATCCTAGAATCAGTTGGAGAGCTTTTGAAAATGTACGAATGCCCTGATCATCCCTACCCCATATATACTCCCAAGTAATGGGGCCCAAGGATCTGTTGTTAAAAAAAAAAAAAAATCCCCAGGTGCTTTTCTGATTCACCCCTTCATGGTTTTGAGCCATTAGCATAGAGGACATTTACTTCATTACCACGATTATCATTTAGCTCATTTGCTGGGTGACTACTATGTGAGTCACTACTATGTGTGACTACTATGTGACTACTATGTAAAGTCTACACATTATATATGCTGTTTGTCCAGGCGCAGCCTCATGGCATATCCATGTGAAAGGAGTCTGTGATGAATTGTTGAGTCCATAGACCAGTCAGTACAAAAGCCAATCAGGAAAGCCTGTATCTGATCTTAGGCGAGATCACTGGACCAGGCTGCCAGGGATACTTCATAAATGCTACAGGGAGGTCTTTAAGGAATCGAGAAATTGTGTAACTTATTGGCATGATCAAATGTGTGTACTTGGGAGGATATATGGCCAATTTTGAAGATACTGAAACCAGATTAGTCAGGATGAGAGGTTTATGTTAGAAAGTAATCAGAAATAAATTAAGAAATAAATTAAGTTTGGGTGCCAGACTTGGGAACATGTTAAAGTTAATAAAAATATGTTTAAAGGAGGAAAATATCCTGAAAACTCAGTATCACAAAAACATCCTTTCATTATATCTTTTGCGAATAGAGCAGAGTAGACATGACAGTACATTTCATCCTCTGCAGTACTTGCTTTGAAAGATTACCCAGTGGTAAGAATATTGGGGAATTTATTAAATTTTTCAAGCCATTATGGTCACATTAAGTACTTTATTGCTGCAGAACTTAAAAGAATTAATCTCCCTCCCGAGGCACTTTGCCTCTGCCAGGGAATACTTTGGACATTAGCGAGAATATTTTTTATTCTTCCTCAAAGCTGGTATGATGGATATTGTAGGGTGTGGCCAAAGTCTAGATCTTATTTCATCTCTCCCCCCTATAAATTTCAAGATGCTATAGATATTTTAAATCACTGTTTCCTTGGTTGATGCCATAGTATGGTGTTTAAAATCATGAAAACATGAATAATTCACTAACATTTTCAGTTGTGCAACTCCTCTTTTAATGAACTATAGAAATGATCCCTGAAAGTATAGTCTTGCAACTCCTCTTTTAAAACTGTAACCTGCTGCTTTGACATACAAAATTGGAAGAACAAATACTGTGAAGATGTCAATGCTACCTAGAGCAATCTACACATTCAATGCAATCCCTATCAAAATACCATCCACTTTTTTCAAAGAAATGGAACAAATAATCCTAAAATTTGTATGGAACCAGAAAAGACTCCGAATAGCCAGAGGAATGTGGAAAAAGAAAAGCAAAGCTGGTGGCATCACAATTCCGGACTTCAAGCTCTATTACAAAGCTATGATCATCAAGACAGTATGGTGCTGGCACAAAAACAGACACATAGATCAATGGAACAGAACAGAGAGCGCAGAAATGGACCCTCAACTCTATGGTCAACTAATCTTCAACAAAGCAGGAAAGAATGTCCAATGGAAAAAAGACAGTCTCTACAATAAATGGTGTTGGGAAAATTGGACAGCCACATGCAGAAGAATGAAGCTGGACCATTTCCATACACCACATACAAAAATAGACTCAAAATGGTTGAAAGACCTAAACGTGAGACAGGAGTCCGTCAAAATCCTTGAGGAGAACACAGGCAGCAACCTCTTCGACCTCAGCCGCGGCAACTTCTTCCTAGACACATCGCCAAAGGCAAGGGAAGCAAGGGCAAAAATGAACTATTGGGA